TATGAATCTAGGATAAGGAAATCTGAATAGCACAGGTCGCATCTTGACAAGAGATACCACGTGGTCGAGAGATTATCTGAGACGGATGCACCTATCTGCTCATATTTGATTACGGTTACATTTAGGCCTTAGTAAGTGTTTTCAATATGTTTCTCGTGATAATAAAAATAATGTTGGCTCGCTTATAACCCTGATATCCTGTGGACAATTTTAAGGGCTCTGGTTTGATAAAATCTGTGTCATAGGTATCAAGATAGATAATTGTGATTTTTGAGTGTGCGTAAGGAGTACTTGTAATAATAACAAGAGAGTAAGGTTTTAACATGCAAGTAAGGTAGCGCAGAATTATATACCGGTAAAGGTACAAAATGAAATACTTTATGAGATTTGTATCGTGAAGTATGTTACAATTGAGCGATTTTTTTCTCATACAAAAATTAAATACGTTCATATTTTTGTTAATCCAACAGTATCCATATAAATAACACCCTTTACGACCTTGACACTCTTCCTGGCTATCAGCGTCGCTGATGAGATTGAATTATTCAGAAAGCGGACATCCAATACACTTAATTTGGCATTTCTTGATTCTAGGTTTAATTGGTTTCCATTTTGACAAGTTAAATATCATGCATTCAATAAGGTTATACATCTAGATACCCCATTCTCCAAATAAGATATCTTATACGCCAACAGTTATATTTATATTATAAAAGTAAACCATTGGAACTCTTTTGAAAGCTAGGCCGGCAAAGGAAGGATGCCAATTTGGGCCGTTTGGTGGTTATCACCGATAAGTTTTATTTTTTGTACAAATGCACCTTGGGACTATGCAATAATGATATGACATGAAATAAAGGCCAACTTGTTGACCATTCCGAAATATGAGGGGTAAAGTGGGGGACCATAATCACAAATGGACGCTTTTTTACAAAACTGCATGTTATTTTTTAAGTTTCTTCATCATTTTGGTGTATTGCGTAACACTAAAGCTGCAAATATTAAAAATGGCCGAAAAGAGTTTGGCAGTACATTGCACATAGTTGACAGGTAGGTCACTGTGACCTTGTTATATATTGGCTCAATTATCTAAACAATTCTTCCTTTTTGTGCCTAAATACATGTTAGAACCAAATTGTATCAATAAGTAACCTTACCAAACCAAACCACAAGAATGGGGGTTCAAAAAGAATACAGGGGGTGCCAAATCTAGACCCCTGGGACCATATACCCGAAAATTGTCAAAATTGAGATCTTGTTCAAATTTTATGTTCCTGGTCCTTGTTTGGAGTTAAGACCTATTTCAATCTCTATTAATTAATTATTCGTTACTCAAATAACGAATAACTTTTCGTTCGCTCCCCGGAAAGTAAAGTTAGAAAGTTACCATACGTCTTTCTATACATGTTTCATGTTAGTAAGTTCAAATATTTGAATTTTGGGTCATTCTAACGCAATGTGAATAGAGTGATACAGATTGAATACGGGTAACACAAAGTCAATGTATGGCCAAACATTCTATTAAGGGCCTAATAGATTCAATGTTTGGCCAAACAGATTCAATTTGGGACCACACAAATTCAATATAAGTTCAGACATTTGAGGGTCATACAGATTCAATGTATGGCCAAACAGAATCAATATAGGGCCATACAGATTCAATGTTTGGCCAAACAGACTCAATTTAGGGTCATACAGAATTAATGTACTGCCAAACAGATTCAATTAAGTGCCATACAGATTCAATGTTTGTCCAAACAGACTACATTTATGGTCATACATATTCAATGTACTCCCAAACAGCTTCAATTTAGTGCCATACAGATTTATTGAACGGCATAACAGATTCCATTGATGTATGGTCCTACAGATTTATTGATATTGCTGAGAAACCTTTTGTCTGATATTGAAAAAATATATTTTAGTTCTGTTTATTTTTATGATAGTATGTAGCTACAGTTGTCTACCAAAAATGTTGCCACTAATATTAAAGTCATTAAGCGGTACATAGTAATACCAAGTTCATTGCTTTATCGTATCAAGTCTATTACGATTAAAAATACTGTCTTATATCATTATCGAGACTAGCACACTGTCCTGGGTTTGACGGGAGATATTTCGAAGTGTACCAGTTGCGGTAAAGGAAAGGCCCGATTTCTTAGCAGTGTCCAGTTTTGATTCCAGTTTCCAGCGAGGGTCCGTGCAAAGCGAGTGTCTTTCTGTAACTTTTGAAAATTAACTCTGCTAGATTTCGTTTCGGTGTCATTCTGTTCTTTTGGACATTCATTGTGTCAATTTTAGTTATCGATAAGGCCCATATGTGTTGGTGCTATTCTATTTGGTGGTTTATATCAAAAATACTTTGTAATAATATTGAAAATTCTTCTTCAAGTAACCATGGTAACCGCTAGAATTAACTCTATCAGATCAAAACGATCATCTAAGGGACCCTTATCTCACTGTTCAATTAGTTTTCGAATATACAGCGATCTCCTTATTCTTTAGCTTCACAGATACATCCGCTACTTATTTTGGACGATAGTAAAACAATCTGAAGTTCAGGGTTCGAATCTTGTTCTAGGACTGCTGAATGTTTGTAGTCGTGTTCTTGATTATATTCCGTTTATTTCGTATTTTTTTCTTTTTTCCATCAAAGTACAGTATCATAAGGTATGTTTTTCTGTTACAGAGATGATTTCTAGCTAAATTTATAGTCATGACGAAAAACAGTTTCCAATGAATAATTTTAGTTTTCGGAAGATGCTCAAAGACATGCAAAATCAATACAACGGTCATTTGTTAAATATCATGGCTACTATGATAAATCCATGCATGGTACTGACTTTACTTTAACTACATACAGACTTCGGTGTTTCGAATTTTGCGGGACCATCGTGAAAAATCCGAACGTCGGACTTTGACTCACGAATATTGAACATCGAGATCCTATAAAAACAAGACAATGTGATTCTTTAAATATGTGAAGAAACACTGGCTTAGACATTTGATTTTAACAATAGAACTAGTGGATTTCTCATCAAATTCAACATTTTTTTTCACTTAAATTTCCGAAGCCCGTACATGTACTCTTAGAATAATCACGGGTAATTTGGATGGTCACGAACAATTGAATATTTCACTTTGATTTATTATTCTTGTAGCTGTGATTTTCAACGTTTTCACATAACGAACCGGCCTAAATTGAATTTCAAAACAGCAAAAAATTCGACTCATACAAGTTCGATTAATGAAAAAATATTTCTTGTTTTTTATAAGGTAAAGCTTTTGGACTTTGCCGTAAGACACATCGAGAAGTTCGATTTCTGGAAGTTTTATTTTAAAAGGCATATATACTAGTTGCATAACACAAAACTGTATTGTGGTAATTTTTTATTTGCAAATCACCAGGGATTAAGACATGTACATGTATTTGTTATATACATCAATAGGTAATGTAATCAATAGAAATGATCTAAATGTCATCAGTCCAGCGATATACTCATACATGTATACATGTACCTTATCGAGAACTGGACCTTGCTTAACTACTGCTACAAGTGCATTACAAGTTAATTTTCATTTTTATCACGTATATGTTTATAGATATATATACTATTCCGCTTACAAACGTATACGCAAAAGTTATATTTAATCAACAATTAAGGTTTATTAACAAAACACTACCACTTCTGCCATAAAGTGATCATATATATGTATATCACAATTAATTATTCATTGGTATTTATTTCGCTCTATTGACTAAATCGCCAATTACCTGTTGTGGACATTTATTTATTTTACAACAATTATGAAACAATTTATTTCAACTTATATTAATCACTCTTGTTGCCCGGATGTTAGCGCGTTGGGGGTCTTAGTGTGAGACGAAACCGGAGTACCCGGAGAAAACCCTCGTGGTCGGGCAGGTGACGCCAACCTTTTCACGTCCGATCGGGGAATCGAACCCCGGCCGCCTTGGTGAAAGGCAAGTGCGCTATCCACTGCACCACCCGACCACCCATTGTTGCTAATCTCTCGCTGTTTACATTTTATTGTCCGAAATCGTTAAAAAAAACTATCATTCAATTAATAGCAAATCATTTAAGTTGAGTCTCTATTATACAATGTAAATCACACGTGCACGGTTATATCTGCCCCTGGCAAATAACTCAATTCTCGGTCTGAAACATGATACCATCCACACTGGTGGCGATACGTTAAATCTGTCAGTGTTGATGATTTTTAATTGCCTTTGAAATCTGACTATCAAATTCAGATCAAATTTTGATATTTATTACATGTATGTTGCAGTGTAAAATTGTATTTTGGTATACTTTTTTCAATTTTATGATTTTATATTCATGATATATCCATGATTTTCTGTTATAAACAAACTGTAAGAGGCATCCTTACTCTCTTTATAGATTGTTTACGACCACGAAGAACGCCAATAAAAAAACATAATATCAGTATTATGAGCTTTTGAGGCGGATGCTCCGTTTTGCTGGTTCGTTGCCGCTAACCCAGAGTTAGAAGGTTGCGGGTTAAGACCAAACGTAGAGGCAGATGTCGTCGGTGGCTTCGGTGTTGTTGATGTTGTGTGTTTTGACATCGGAGTTGTCATTGATGCTGTCGATGGTGTTGTTGATGTTGGTGTACTCCGTTGATTAGTCGTTTGTGTTGTCCATGAGGGTGTCGGTGATGTTATTTTAAATGTTGTCGGTTGTGTTAACATGGGTGTTTTCGACCATGTTGTAGTTGGTGATGTTGATGTTGTCCATGGATCCCTAAATGTTGTCTTTGGTCTAGCCGTGTGTGTTGTAGCTGGTGATGATGTTGAAGTTGTCCATGGCATTGTTGTTTTCGACGTTTGTTTTGTCGTGAATATAATAGTTTGGTTCGTTGTTGGTGTTATCTTTGGTGTTGCCCTTGCATTGCTTGGTGTTGTAGTTGGTTTCGTTGATGCTCTCCACGGTGGTGTTGTTGATGATGGCCATTGGTCAATTCGTGTTGTTATTGGTAGCGTCGTTTTCCCTGTTAGTGCTGTTGTTGTCATTGGTGTTGTCGTTGTTGTTGCCTGTATATGTATTGGTATTGTCGTTGTTTTCATTGCCTTTGATATGTTCCAAGGAGTTTTTTCTGTTTTTGTTGCACGTGTTGGTGGTGTTGCCTGTGGATTGGTTGGTGTTGTCGTTAATGTTTTCCATGGTGGAGTTGTTGATGTTCTCCATGGTGGTGGTGTTGATGTTCTCCATGGTGGTGGTGTTGTGGTTCTCCATGGTGGTGGTGTTGATGTTCTCCATGGTGGTGGTGTTGACGTTCTCCATGGTGGTGGTGTTGATGTTCTCCATGGTGTTTTCGTTGATGTTCTCCATGGTGGTGGTGTCGTTGTTCTCCATGGTGTTGTTGTTGGTGTTCCCCATGGTGGTGGTGTTGATGTGCTCCATGGTGGTGGTGTTGACGTTCTCCATGGTGGTGGTGTTGATGTTCTCCATGGTGGTGTTGTTGATATTCTCCATGGTGTTTTCGTTGATGTTCCCCATGGTGGTGGTGTCGTTGTTCTCCATGGTGTTGTCCTTGATGTTCTCCATGGTGGTGGTGTCGTTGTTCTCCATGGTGTTGTTGTTGGTGTTCCCCATGGTGGTGGTGTTGATGTGCTCCATGGGGGTTGTGTTGACGTTCTCCATGGTGGTGGTGTTTACGATCTCCATGGTGGTGGTGTTGACGTTCTCCATGATGGTGGTGTTGATGCTCTCCATGGTGGTGGTGTTGATGTGCTCCATGGGGGTTGTGTTGACGTTCTCCATGGTGGTGGTGTTCATGTTCTCCATGGTGTTTTCGTTGATGGTCTCCATGGTGGTGTTGTTGATATTCTCAATGATGGTTGTGTTGTTGATGTTCTCCATGATGGTGTTGTTGATTTTCTCCATGGTGGTGGTGTTGACGGTCTCCATGGTTGTGGTGTTGATGTTCTCCATGGGGGTGGTGTTGATGTTCTCCATGGCGTTTTCGTTGATGTTCTCCATTGTGTTTTCGTTGATGTTCCCCAGGGTGGTGTTGTTGAAATTCTCCATGATGGTTTTGATGATATTCTCCATGATGGTGGTGTTGATGTTCTCCATGGCGTTTTCGTTGATGTTCTCCATGGTGGAGGTGTTGATATTCTCCATGATGGTTTTGTTGATGTTCTCCATGATGGTGGTGTTGATGATCTCCATGGGGGTGGTGTTGATGTTCTCCATGGAGTTTTCGTTGATGTTCCCCATGATGGTGGTGTTGATGATCTCCATGGGGGTGGTGTTGATGTTCTCCATGGGGGGGTTGTTGATATTCTCCATGATCGTGTTGTTGATGTTCTCCATGGGGGGGTTGTTGATATTCTCCATGATCGTGTTGTTGATGTTCTCCATGGGGGTGGTGTTGATGTTCTCCATGGTTGATGGTGTTGTTGATGTTCTCCATGATGGTGGTGTTGATGTTCTCCATGGGGGTGGTGTTGATGTTCTCCATGGGGGTGGTGTTGATGTTCTCCATGGGGGGGTTGTTGATATTCTCCATGATCGTGTTGTTGATGTTCTCCATGGTTGATGGTGTTGTTGATGTTCTCCATGGGGTTTTCGTTGATGTTCCCCATGGTGGTGTTGTTGATATTCTCCATGATGGTTTTGATGATGTTCTCCATGATGGTGGTGTTGATGATCTCCATGGTGGTGGTGTTGATGTTCTCCATGGTGGTGGTGTTGATGTTCTCCATGGTGTTTTCGTTGATGTTCTCCATGGTGGTGTTGTTGATATTCTCCATGATGGTGTTGTTGATGTTCTCCATGGTGGTGTTGTTGACGTTCTCCATGGTGGTTCTGTTGATATTCTCCATGGTGTTTTCGTTGATGTTCCCCATGATGGTGTTGTTGATGTTCTCCATGGTGGTGTTGTTGACGTTCTCCATGGTGGTTTTGTTGATATTCTCCATGGTGTTTTCGTTGATGTTCTCCATGGTGGTCTTGTTGGTATTCTCCATGGTGTTTTCGTTGATGTTCCCCATTGTGGTCTTGTTGATATTCTCCATGGTGTTTTCGTTGATGTTCTCCATGGTGGTGTTGTTGATATTCTCAATGGTGGTGTTGTTAATGTTCTCCATGGTGGTGTTGTTGACGTTCTCCATGGGGGTGCTGTTGATGTTCTCCATGGTGTTTTCGTTGATGTTCTCCATGGTGTTTTCGTTGATGTTCTCCATGGTGTTTTCGTTGATGTTCTCCATGGTGGTGGTGTTGATCTTCTCCATGGTGTTTTCGTTGATGTTCCCCATGGTGGGGTTGTTGATGTTCTCCATGGTGGTGTTGTTGATGTTCTCCATGGTGTTGTCGTTGATGTTCTCCATGGTGGTGTTGTTGATGTTCTCCATGGTGTTTTCGTTGGATGTTCCCCATGATGGTGTTGTTGATGTTCTCCATGGTGGGGGTGTTGATGTTCTCCATGGTGGTGGTGTTGATGTTCTCCATGGTGTTTTCGTTGATGTTCCCCCTGGTGGTCTTGTTGATATTCTCCATGGTGTTTTCGTTGATGTTCTCCATGGTGTTTTCGTTGATGTTCCCCCTGGTGGTCTTGTTGATATTCTCCATGGTGTTTTCGTTGATGTTCTCCATGGTGGTGGTGTTGATCTTCTCCATGGTGTTTTCGTTGATGTTCCCCATGGCGGTCTTGTTGATATTCTCCATGGTGTTTTCGTTGATGTTCCCCCTGGTGGTCTTGTTGATATTCTCCATGGTGTTTTCGTTGATGTTCTCCATGGTGTTTTCGTTGATGTTCTCCATGGTGTTTTCGTTGATGTTCTCCATGGTGTTTTCGTTGATGTTCCCCACGGTGGTCTTGTTGATATTCTCCATGGTGTTTTCGTTGATGTTCCCCATTGTGGTCTTGTTGATATTCTCCATGGTGTTTTCGTTGATGTTCCCCATGGTGGTGGTGTTGATGTTCTCCATGGTGGTGTTGTTGATATTCTCAATGATGGTGTTGTTAATGTTCTCCATGGTGGTGTTGTTGACGTTCTCCATGGTGGTGTTGTTGATATTCTCAATGATGGTGTTGTTAATGTTCTCCACGGTGGTGTTGTTGACGTTCTCCATGGTGGTGTTGTTGATGTTCTCCATTGTGGTGGTGTTGATGTTCTCCATGGTGGTGTTGTTGATATTCTCCATGGTGTTTTCGTTGATGTTCTCCATGGTTGTGTTGTTGATATTCTCCATGGTGTTGTCCTTGATGTTCTCCATGGTGTTTTCGTTGATGTTCCCCATGGTGGTGTTGTTGATGTTCTCCATGGTGTTTTCGTTGATGTTCTCCATGGTTGTGTTGTTGCTATTCTCCATGGTGTTGTCCTTGATGTTCTCCATGGTGGTGGTGTCGTTGTTCTCCATGGTGTTGTCCTTGATGTTCTCCATGGTGGTGGTGTCGTTGTTCTCCATGGTGTTGTCCTTGATGTTCTCCATGGTGGTGGTGTCGTTGTTCTCCATGGTGTTGTCCTTGATGTTCTCCATGGTGTTTTCGTTGATGTTCCCCATGGTTGTGTTGTTGATGTTCTCCATGGTGGTGTTGTTGGCGTTCTCCATGGTGGTGTTGTTGATGTTCTCCATGGGGGTGGTGTTGATGTTCTCCATGGTGGTGTTGTTGATATTCTCCATGGGGTTTTCTTTCATGTTCTCCATGGTTGTGTTGTTGATATTCTCCATGGTGTTGTCCTTGATGTTCTCCATGGTGGTGGTGTCGTTGTTCTCCATGGTGTTGTCCTTGATGTTCTCCATGGTGGTGGTGTCGTTGTTCTCCATGGTGTTGTCCTTGATGTTCTCCATGGTGTTTTCGTTGATGTTCTCCATGGTTGTGTTGTTGCTATTCTCCATGGTGTTGTCCTTGATGTTCTCCATGGTGGTGGTGTCGTTGTTCTCCATGGTGTTGTCCTTGATGTTCTCCATGGTGTTTTCGTTGATGTTCTCCATGGTTGTGTTGTTGCTATTCTCCATGGTGTTGTCCTTGATGTTCTCCATGGTGGTGGTGTCGTTGTTCTCCATGGTGTTGTCCTTGATGTTCTCCATGGTGGTGGTGTCGTTGTTCTCCATGGTGTTGTCCTTGATGTTCTCCATGGTGGTGGTGTCGTTGTTCTCCATGGTGTTGTCCTTGATGTTCTCCATGGTGGTGGTGTCGTTGTTCTCCATGGTGTTGTCCTTGATGTTCTCCATGGTGTTTTCGTTGATGTTCTCCATGGTTGTGTTGTTGATATTCTCCATGGTGTTGTCCTTGATGTTCTCCATGGTGTTTTCGTTGATGTTCTCCATGGTTGTGTTGTTGCTATTCTCCATGGTGTTGTCCTTGATGTTCTCCATGGTGGTGGTGTCGTTGTTCTCCATGGTGTTGTCCTTGATGTTCTCCATGGTGGTGGTGTCGTTGTTCTCCATGGTGTTGTCCTTGATGTTCTCCATGGTGGTGGTGTCGTTGTTCTCCATGGTGTTGTCCTTGATGTTCTCCATGGTGTTTTCGTTGATGTTCCCCATGGTGGTGTTGTTGATGTTCTCCATGGTGGTGTTGCTGTAGTCCATTGATAGGTTCGTGTAGTTGTTGTAATCATCGTTTGAGTTGTCAACGGTTTCGCCGTTGAAATTGTCCTTGCTGGTGTTGGTGGTTTCGTTGATGATAGCCACGGATATCTTGGATTGGTCGTTAGCATTTTCGTAGAGGCTGGCCATGGTGACATGGCTGTTGCAAAAGGTTTTGTTGCAGGAATAATCGTTTGCTTTGTTGTTGATGTTTTTGTTAGCATTTCCCATGGTTTGATCTGTGAAATTCTATGTTTTGTCTTCAATGTTTTCATTGGTGTTTTCTGTGTTGTTGGTATAGTTGTCGTTGAATATGCCCATGAAAGTGTTGTTGTTGTCAAAGGTGTACTCGTTTGTGTTATCGTTGATGATGCCGTTTGTGTTGTCCATGGCGATGTTGTTGTTGTTCGTGTTGTCCATGGCGACGGTGTTGTCGTTCGTGTCGTCGTTTTAGCTGATATTGTCGTATTGAAAGGAAATTTCCAAATCTTTACATCATCTAATCCCAGTTTTGTGCGAACGTTGATTCTTACAGATTTGAATCGAATCTGCAAAATAGTAATAATATAGTTGGTTACATGAACATAAATGTATGTTTTCATTTTTCTACTGTCTATACATCTACATACTACGAAGCCTAGGATGGGACATGGTGGGGGAAAAAAGATAAATAACCCGAGATTACATATTACTAAACATAATCTCAGTTAATGTTTGTATGTCCCTTTCCAGGCTCCGTAGATACCAGAATATGACAAAAAGGGAATACTAGATAAACAAGACATGCATGTTTCAATAACAACAAGTTTATCTACAGTTTTTGAGGGGAACTCGTTCGAAATTACAAAAGAGTATTAAACATTGCTTTGAAGAAAACAGCAGGGACTGTTTCTGAGTCTTAATACGTGTCAGGTTCGAATTCATTACTATCTCGTCCGTGAACGGCGACACAGTGCAAGTGAGAAAATGTTAAAATTCTACTTTTTTGGTATGTATTTTGCGGTATTATTTTTTCATCAGCATGAATTATCACAATAATGGATATAAAAATATTGAAGTGTCAAGCATATGGCGAAGAGTTTTCTACATTTGTATGAATCTGAATAAATTTGAATTGTACGTCACGCCAAGTCATGATTTTGAGATCGATTCCTTAAACAGTTTGACAGTAAGACCTGAACAGGTTCCGATTGGAAACATTAAGTGGGTCTTGCTGTTGTTCGATTATAGGAAAATCATTGGTTGATACATTAATGTAGATTTACATGAGGACTGTACAAAGGAAATGGAAATATAAGATAATATATATAAATATGTATTATCTTGTAACAGTATGCTCTGTTCATAACCAACATATTCCGATATTTCAATACTTTTATAATATTGTAAAGCGCATTTTGTTTTAATTACAACGTTCCGCTAGAAATAGTTAATGATCTTATTTAAGCAGAAGCTTTTTGTATGGTGGCATATTTCTGCCATCCACTTGCGAATTACGAGTTACGTATGTCGACATAATCATTGAAAGATGTCGACATAATCTAAGAAGATGTCGACATAATTTTTAAATTATGTCGACAGATTATCACATTTGCCGAGATAATTTTGCCGAGATAATTATCTCGTAAGTGGGTACCTCGGCTTTTTATCGTGTTAATGCTCGGGTGTGACATCGACTTACGACTTGCCACTTACGACTTGCCACTTACGACTTATTTATGTAAAATCCCTCTTTGATTGATAAACTCTGTACATCATAGTAACCTACTGTAATATTCATATCTTTGATTTCCCATATTTAAATTGATTTTACCAAGTTACTCACCAGTATAGTCACCACTGTTCAGTCACCATCAGCCCCCCTTCGCGGTCCTCGTGCACAAGGCTCGTTTTGGTAAGTCGGCAATAATCTAATAGGATGTCGACATAAATAAGTCGTAATTGGCAAGTCGTAAGTGGCAAGTCGATGTCACACCCGAGCATTAACACGATAAAAAGCCGAGTTACCCACTTACGAGATAATTATCTCGGCAAATGTGATAATCTGTCGACATAATTTAAAAGATATGTCGACATCTTCTCAGATTATGTTGACATCTTTCAATAATTATGTGGACATACGTAACTCGTAAGTCGCAAGTGGATGGCAGAAATATGCCACCATATTTTTGGTTTATATCATCATTTTTCTGTTCCTACTGCAGATGATGATGAATATGTTGTTTCATCGTGTCATATGTATGATATCTATAACACATGGAGGTGAGGCAGTTGGCTACTATGTAATATCATTACCTTAAATGGACTTTGACTGAACACAGCCAATGTCGCCTTCCTCCAACCATCTCCATAACGACCAGTCAGTTTCCATAGCGATGTGTCCTGACCGTTGGTATCCAGCAGGACTTCCAGATTGGAGGTAGATGCTGACATGGCGTACCAGAACTGGATACACACAGTCCCGCTATTGATTGTTGTGGTGTTGATAGAGGAACTAGCGCCGTCATGTCTACCCAACATGTATGGGTAGATATATGACCCTCCTGTAATTATACAAAAATTATGCTACAGTGATATGATTATAAGCAATATGTACCTATTTAAAAGACACCTACGTCAAACAAGAGATATCGTAATACATTATGCGGCGATTACATAGTACTCCGTCACATTAAGTCGATCGTATAAGTGTGAATAATGAGAGTAAATATATTTCCATGGAAGCAATAAATAGCTGCAGAAGGACAAGAATATAAAGTTCTTTTCTGAATAAGTTTCATAATTTAAAAACAATCAGATAGGTCTTAAAATATTAACAGAGATATCAGCTTGAAAAAGTAATGTTTGTTATTTCTATTGCATTCAGAGATAAAACATTTTTGATGATAAGAATTTAAAGAAATCGTTATTAATTCTCTGAAAGATAGATCGCTCAACATCAATAAGCTCAACAAATACTATTGCAATCAAACTTGTATAAATAACCAATTTTGAGACAAATCTTTTTTATGATAACACGTTAAATTACCATGAAGAGAATGTACTTCTGCGTAATATGTTGAAGATGTTATCCTCCACCGTAAGTCATGGTAATCCGTCGGGTGACTGAAGCTGCAGTAACCACTGTTGAAGTCACAGCTCTGGCTAAGTAATTTCACATTGATATCGGAACAACTACTGTTAGACAGAACTTGGACATTAGTTGGTGGAACTGAGGCGACTGATCTTGCATCACTAAATAGCCACGCTGATGTTAAGATATCTGCAAAACATAAAAGAAATTAAATTAAATTATCATTCAAAAAATTAAAAAGAACCAAAATAAAGTGTGAAGTGTCACCAAGCACGGACACATTACACCTGTATTAAGAGGCCACCCAAGGGACCGGCAGAAATTTGCCGCTTAAGACAGGTGGCTGCTAAAACCAGGCTCACCCGAAAATCACAACCAAGTTTCCATACATCCACGGGTTATAATGACATTTCACCGGAAATATAGGCGGCTATGTTATTTTGAATTTTTCTCCCTTCATCAACAGGGGTACGAATTCATACCTGAATATAAATTTGCATAATCAATGAAATACAAAGGCGTTTTGGTGATTAATTTCTTGAAATGATGAATTTATTTTTGTTTGGCTACACACGTGTTCCACATACGTTTTGCGCTAGCAGACAACCACCAGTAATGAAATCTACATGTATATCTGATTTTAATGAAAATCTGCATTGCTATGTATTCTGATCTATGTGGATCAAATAATTAACTTAATTCATCATTTATAAATAAATCACTCAGTAGATCTAGTACTTTGCAAGAATCTTTGAGCTTTCAACTTAGCGTAACGGTTTATTCACAGCACCCACGCGCCTTATGGAAAGGCTAACACTAATGTCCTGATCTCGCACAGCTATTAAAAACCAAATTATTATATTATAGAAATAAATCACGACGAATTAATCAAAACAAAAATCTGATTCAGCGTCTGCGCTGTGAAATTTATCCTTTTGACATGATGTCTGCTTCGTTGATATAGAAATAGTGACTGGCAGACCGGAAGCAGATCTGTTTTCGCATGCAATATAGCGGCAAGTTTTTTGATCACATAATATATTAGGCCTGAGTAGCTTTGGATACAGTATGTACAGATACCACAAAAGATCATACTTGTTTTAAAAAATCACAAGCTGATTGAGTACACAAAGTGGGATTTATTGTTTTGTTTGTAAAACAATGTTGATGGGTCGGTAGGACCTGTCCCAATTTGCAAGCTGAAAATCGCTGTGTAAACAACTTGTCAATTCAACGTGTCAAACCTTACCTATGGTTTTTAATTACACATTGTAATTAGCTTTGCTCTATTGGGATGTGTTCTTGTTAATATATTGGGATTTTCTTGATGTCAATTTCTGGACAAAATGACTGCTGAAGGTGGAGATAACGTCTCGGGCCAGAGTTTTGTGGCCGCTGGCCGCATTAGACAGGTGGCTGCTTATTTCAGGTTCATTATATAGTTTTTTTCTATCGGACGGACCACAGACTGACCACATTAGGGAGGTGGCTGCTCATTTCAGGTGACCGCTCAAGCAGGTTTGACTGTATTTCACATTATCAACATTCAAGGACAAAAACTGTGAAATATTAAAAACATGATTTGCATTTGAGAAATAAAAAACGTGTTTCTATTGTCCAGTTTTAAAATTCAAGTGTCGTGTTATGTATAATTAATGTACTTTTATTCAGACCTAGCAGATACAATAACATTTCTTTCCTTAAAGATCCTTACTAATGTTATTTAACTTTCTTTTTAAGGTAAGACATTTATGTAGGTTTGTGTCACCATTTCTCAGTAGAATTTCTTCAAATTTTGTAGTTATATTGCTTTGAAGTAAAGAAAAAAATTGCAACAAAAAAATATAGGTTGTCGGAATTTTCAGGATTTTAAATGGAAATTTATGTAAAAAGGAGTGGATTTTGAAAAAAAAATTAAAGACACAATTGTCTGCAAAATAATGTCAAAAAAAAAAAACTGCCATAGATTAGTATTGCATTAATGTATATCAATTTGATAAATTCTGAAACTGATTAATTTTTTTTTATCTATAAACGATTAAAAATTTACATTTTATAATAAACCCATACACATAGTAATTGCATGTTAGAGTTATCGTTCTTGAAAAACTTCACAGTAGTGAAATAGGTAGCCGGTTTCTTAAAGTACAGAAAAATGGACACATGTGACTCATTGATAAATAAAAACCTGCATTAATGCCTGGATTGCTTTGAAATACTTTAATATTGCGAGAACACACTGTTCTGTCAATAATAAACATACAATATTCATCCGTTTGATATTAAACATTAGAATATGCGGAAATTGTGATACTGTCTCCCTACATTGGATTTTCAACAAGGGATGTACTTCCTAAGTCCGTTTATCAATACACTCCGATGACCTTAAGCGAAAATTTGCTCAGAGTTTGTCACTTCCGTAATTGGGATTGAGTCAAAGTACCCTTTTGAAATTATCAACCAACTTGCAACTAAAAATAAGTATGTTAACACACTACACCCTAGACATTGTCAACACACAAAACCACGATGGACAATTCACCATTGTCAACACACAAAGTATCACTTAGTTATCACAGTATATCACTTCTAACTTATTATTTTAACATTTTCACGATGTCGCTCGAATTGGCTCGCCCAGCAGTACTTCATGTATACAGAGAGACTTTTAACAACTTGTTTTATTGTATTATAAATGCATTGTACATTAAATATACATTCAAATGCGTTTAAATTGAAATCTTTTCTAGCGAATAATAAGTGGCAGATATCAATTTTGTTTATACTTTATACTTATGAATGAGGGTAAACCAGACATTTTAATTCATTGCTTTTCTATATCCTTTTGTGAATTTACATTCCATAGTATCCCGTGAAACTAAATTCGTACTGATAAAGTTTTTCGAGCCTCCCAGAGAAGGAAGTGTGAACACAGATCGCGACTTTACAAGAGATACCATTAGGTCGAGAGATTATCTGAGGATGCACATATCTGCTGGTATTTGATTTCGGTGAGTTTTAGGCCTTGAGAGTGTTTTTAATACGTTTCTTGCGATATGAAAGATATAAAGATTGCTCGCTTAAAACCCCGATACCACGTGTACACAGATGTTCACTTTGTTAAGGGCGCTGGTTTGATAAAGAAATGTCATAGGCATCAGGATTGACAATTGTGATTGTCATAGCGAATAGAACTGACTTATTCAAGTTCAAACACGTTCATAAGTGTGTTAATCACAGTATATATAAAGTGTATATTAACTGAACAATGTTGTAAGTTCAACATCTCTTATGAAATTTCATTAGTTGAAACATGTACATGTATACCTAGTACATTTACACTGAACCAAGTTTTTCTTGTATTTCCTATGCTCCCATTTCATGAAGCTAAATATCATAATGTTTCTCAATCCTTAAAATAACATATATATTCTATAACTGTGGTTACATCACGATGATTGTTCTTTTTGTCAAAATAAATCGTTTACATGAAAATATGTATTAGATAGGAAATATAGAATATACAAAATTTCAAGATTCTTTAGAGCAAAACAGTGTAAAGAATTATCCACCAGTCCTAGTAAAAAACGTTATGTCAAGACGGGTTAGCTCCCTTTAAACACCACGTAATTAAGCAAACACAGGAAATCGGCTTCAAAACCTACGTTTGTGGTTACGGTTTTGAATTTCAGGAAATCTAGCCACTGCACGTGGTCATGACATCATTGAGTAAGCAATAGAAGAATCGGCCAATACTAATCGATCGAGTACATGTAATATATGTCGGTGTTTTGTAACACATTTTATTGCGTTACGTTAGAGTATCTATAGACATCAATTGATTCGTAGAATGGCATATTTTGCGTTTCAAGATTTTGAAAGTTTGTTATTTGCAAACTATGATATGTGAGAATCTTAACGAATTGAATTACAGTTGAAAATTGATTAGCTGGTGTATTGGCTGACTTGGAAACTAAAACAGTGGTTCACATGGAGAGTTGTTTATTGACTGTTTACGACATAAAACCTTTTGGGACAGCTAACGCGCGTAATCATTAACAACAACCACGAAATATGAATCTGGTAACTAAGCTTCCATTTTAACTATTGTTTGATTGGTGTGTGTTATTTTTGTTGTTACCTGGGTGACTGTTTGTACTTCCTTAAAGATATAAACATTAAAAATCCAAACTAAATACTTGGTTGTTTATGCTTTTGTGATAACAGTGTATGTGTAATATTCAACATTATGATGTTTTACACTTTTTAAATTTAATTTCTACGACAAGAAAGTCTGCAATAGTCGATCATTCCTCATTTATAACAAAATAACAAATTAAGAATATGTGTTTTAGGTCATATTACTGGTAATACTAACTGTAAGATACTGACCAAGCATAAAATTAAAAGTTACACATGGTATGTATTGGTACATATTTATATTCTTTTCTAGCTCTCTTTAGGATTTTAAATAAAAAAATAATAGTTATTATTATTACTGAAAGTGAACATGGATAATAACGTATCATAAATTGTACTTACGTAGCAAAACTAAAGTCCAAGCCAGCTTCATGATAACAGTTCCTTCAAATAGTCAAAATTCAACTTTACTATTATGCCATTTCTTTCTTCCTCAAAGTACTCTATGATATGTTTCCCCCTAAGACTTCACTGTTGATATGATAGATTATATATGCAGGGTAGTGATCACTTCTCCGTCCTTATCTAAGAACTGAGAACATTTGGTTAAGCGTAAAAACCTTTATATCGTGTGTACATGCGCAGTAGTTTCAAATAGGCTGGTTATTTCTGACCTCTCGTGATCACTTGACTAGATGATTCCTTGTATTTCCATTTATAGTAATGTTGACCTTGACCTATGACCTTCGGACCTGGAAAGTAATCCCAAGCAAGCACTTTTAGTAAGAAAGCACTATATCAAGTCTGAGCTCGATCGATCTAAAGAAACTGAAGTTATCGCACGGGAACAGATTTTCTATTTATAGTTACGGTGGCCTTGACCTTTGACCTTCGAACCTGAAATGCAATCCCAAGCAAGCACCCTTAGTAAGAAAGCACTATATCAAGTCTGAGCTCGTTCGATCTAAAGAAACTGAAGTTATCGCACGGAAACAGATTTTCTATTTTTAGTTACGGTGGCCTTGACCTTTGACCTTCGAACCTGAAAAGCAATCCAAAGCATAGCACTTTAGTAAGGGAGCACTGTATGAAGTTTGAGTTCAATTGACTTGAAGAAAGTCAAGTTAGCGCACGGAAACAGTTTTTCTATTCATAGTAACGGCGACAATGATTTTTTACCTTTGGGCCTAAAAAGTAATTCCAAGCAAGCTCTTTCAGTAAGAAAACACTGTATGAAGTTTTAGTTTAATCAACCAAAGGGAACTCAAGGAAACCTTGTTTCAGACGACGTAACCGACGACGACATAGTAATACTTATATGTCGCACCGCGTTGCAGACGACATAAAAACGAAGACAAGCATCTGAAGCTAAGCAGTTTACTCTTTATGAACCAACACCCAAGTATTATAGTACAGTGCATATCATTAAAATTAGTAACAAAAAAATTGACGAGTATAGACATAAACAATAAAAAGCAAGCTAAATTTTCTTGTTGATTGTTAAATTATCTTTATTACTTAGAAAAGTGGCTACATTTGATCACGGTGGTCTCTGGTTAAAATTGTCTAGCAATCTCATCTCTTAACGTCTAGTTCAGTTTAACGCTGCCTCCTGATATCGCCACCCCTAACCGCAGTACTATATTACAAACATTCGTAGTCTAAAACAATGATACTGGTAAAAAGCAGGAATATAACATTTAGTTCCATACAATATACTTTGGACACATATGTGAGTTGTTTCAGCACACGGCCCCATTATTATTTTCATTGTCATTTTACCCCTTGCAGAAATTTAAATTCAATATTTGACTTTATTTGTGCATTTGTCCTCGTGCCTAGATCCAATTTGCACGACACATAAGTATCTACAATGTACCGTAATCTCAAAATAGTATATATGATACCTGTAAATATACATGCCAACTAAATCCTATCAGGGCATTTGAAATCACGCCTACTTCCGTATAACATTATATGCATTTTATTGAAATTGTTTAAATATGTACTCAGTATATAACAAATCAATCTGGTTTAGCTATTGTTACAATGTACGTTTTACGTTAATTTCGACATTGAACTATGTTTGAATGTTTAAATACAGTTTGATTACATGAACATGACATTAAAAAATGTAGATTATGACGGAGTAAAGAAATATACAAAAAAAAAAAATGTATTTAACGTTTTGTTTTTACATGTGTGCAGGCAGGATAGCTCTTATCATAATTTCGGTAAAGATTAGCAGGATTAGCAATACGAATCAGGGAGACGATTGCCATATTTCTAACTTCATGTAGTTATAACGACAACATTCAGCATAATGTTGTCAGTGTCGTATGGTCATCACATACATTTATAACAATATCAAAAGTGGTTAGTGAAATTAAAAACATGTTTACTTCATCCATATCACATGGGAAGGCGTGTATTTCAATTACATTCACATACATCGCATAAATAACGTATTCCCCAAACGATCGCAAATATACTCCCTGATTGTTTTGCAATCTGGACAAAAACCGTTGGATATTTTATCTTAATATAACTTTTCGAATTAGTGCTATATGACTTCAATAAATTTCGAACTATTCTCAACTCTGATATTTGTTATTATATTATTGAAAGTACCTGTATTTTAGAATGAATCATTAAAATTGTCAAACGGCACCGTGACGTTTAAAGTAATGGGCCAGGGTTAGCTGTTGTATAATTCAGATTGCATAAACATTAAAAATATTCATTCTATTTTCTGCAAGGCTGTGAATACTTAGGACATTGTATAAATTGTTTCATATCGGCTTTCTAAATAATACTTAGCACTTAATTACAGCAGTAACATGTAGCATGATACAAGTACATACATTGTACTTATTTTGAACATGTATATGCTTTTGTGTCATGTTTATACGAAAGAAATAACACTACACCCACATTACCAGTCCTACTACAACAATGAAGATATAAACAACAGATTGAATACATTGAGTTAGATTTGTGTCATTGGCAACAACTTTGCGTAAAAAAATTACCTACATTGGAAACTTTAATTACTCTATAAGGACATGTTGACTTACTTTACAATGATGACTACCCTACAATTGAAACGGTGTGTTACAGTAAACGGAAACGTGTCATTGCCTCTTAATGCAAACGTAAAGCAAGTTAACATTGGAAAGGTTAAAATACAGTACAATGGATAAGTTTAGCCACCTTTAAATGAAACGTTAAATAGTTGTAAAGCAGAAACGTTAATTACAGTAAAATTGAAACGTTTGATTTGCATAAAATGAAAACGTTAAATAACCACTAAATGGAAAAGTTAAAGTTAAATAATCGTAAAATTGAAACGTTAAATTAGAGTAAAATGGAATCGTTTCATCTGCTTACAATGGTAACATTAATTACAGTAACATGGAAACGTTTGATTTGCATAAAATGAAAACGCTAAAAAGCCATTAAATGGTAAGGTTTACGTTAAATAATCGTAAAATTGAAACGTTAAATTAGAGTAAAATGGAAACGTTTCATTTGCCTACAATGGAAACGTTAAGTGTCCTTCGATGGAAACGTTAAATTACCGTAAAATGTAACATCAAATAGCAGTACAATAGAAATGCTGAATTATCTTACAATGGAAACATAAATCCGCTCTATATCACAAAGAAATCGTCTACATAGCTTCCAATGAATAAGTTTAGTGTAAATTATACTGGTTAATACTTATAAATAATTATTGTGATAACAACCATGGTTTATAATCAGGTATATAGCTACATGGCTGTCAAGGAAATAGCAATTTAGCATGGTCAATACTAGTGATGCACTATCATCACACATCATCTATATGGCACCCGCGGTACGCAAATACACCGTACTTATCATTAACTACTGACATAACAGCCATGTCGTATCATCACCTAACTACATGACTGTCAAGGAAGTGGTTCCCGTATATAGGAATTGCGAACACTTTTTACATATTATTGATACGAGAGTGACATGTCAAAGGTTTCATTGAATTTCAAAACAACAGAAAATCAGCTTATATTTTAATGTTCTGATTGTCCATTTTGCTGAATATCTATTGTGTTAATAACACACCATTGTAAATTCTCATATGTTTATAACACACCATTGTACATTCTCATATGTTCATAACACACCATTGTAAATTCTCATACAAAAACAACTTAATCTGATTTTCATTGTTAACCTTTTTTAGTTTCCGTTAAATATCCTTGCTGTAAAATGCTGAAAATACCCATCAAAATCTGTGAGTTATCGTTTTTTCAAGGCAACAGTTTGTTTGTTCTTCATTTCGTACACGCATGAACAGTTTTATTGTATACTACTTTTAAACTTGTTACTTTTTCATTCCTTTCATTTTAAGATATCCAGGAATGTATTCATCACTTGTATACGATTTCTCTAGTTGATAACATTTTATTTTCGCTGCCCGGGCTTTCTTTATGACCATTAAGGCTGCCAGAACCACAGCACAACTCCCAATAACGGATCCAACGATTATCCCAGTTTTGTGACTGCTGGTGAACGACCCGTCATTTTGAGCGACTTTGTTCTCAATATTGCCAACAGGAATAGTCATGGTCACCGCAGGACCATGAGTAATATGGTGTATTCTGTGACCGGAAGTAGTTGATCGATATGGCGATGTTTCAGTCGGAATAGATGATTTTATTCTAGACGTAGGTACAGAAATTGACGAATTCTGTATTGACGCCGTATTCATAAATTGTGTTGTATTGAATTCCGATGTTGTTGATATTTCCAACAATTGGTCTGTTGTTTTATGTGACGTTGTCGATTGTTCCGATGATGTTGAAGATGCTATGTTATTTTTTATTTTGGATACGATTTCTGACACTTGTTCGGTCGTTGGCTTCGTTGAGGGTTTCTTTGTTTTCTTAGCTGTTGTGTGTTGGACAAATTTATGGATGTGGTTCACTGATGTTGTTTCATCGGGTGTTATTTCTGCAAGTGATGATGTTATTGTTGTTGATATCTTATTTGAAACTTTTGTAGGTGTTGTTGTTTGTGCTGTTGTTGATATCACTGATGTGGTTATCTTTGTTGAAGTCGTATGTGTTGTCCTTGTAGTAGTTGACGTATAGTTTGGGGTAATGGTTTGTGAAGTGGTTGGTATCCTTGTTGCAGTCATGGTTGGCGTAGTGGTCGGTGTTGAAGTTTGCGTAGTGGTCGGTGTCGTGGTTGGTGTAGTGATTTGTGTCTTGGTCAGTGCAGTTGTTTGTGTAGTTGTTGGTGTCGTGATTAGTGTAGTGGTTGGGGTAGTGGTGGGTGTAGTAGTTGGTGTAGTCGTGGGTGTAGTAATTGGTGTTGTAGATGGTGTAGTAGTTGGTTTCTTGGTTGGTGTAGTTGCGAGTGTAGTTGTAGGTGTAGTTGCTGATGTAGTGGTTGGTTTAGTGGTAGATGCCGTGGTTGGTGTCGTGGTGGGAGTAGTGGTTGGCTTAGTCGTTGTAATCGATGGAAATTTCCATATTTTTATGTCGTCTAAACCTAGTTTTGTGTCATGATTTTTTCTTACACATTTGAACCGAATCTGCAAAAAAAGGAAATAGAAAGTAAAGTAAAACGACAAAAAGAAAAACAAAGAGCGCCATGATATAATTAACAAATTTAAAAATAAATAAAAGATGTGAATTTTATATCAGTTCTCAGATAATATACACGACAAGTATATCAAAATAATCCAATAGCTGATATTAACTTTTCTGAAAAGATAACTGTACCTGTTTTGAGAGGAAAAATAATTAAAATTGAATAAAAAATCATCAACAGCAATGCTCTATATGTATTATACTAAGGTGCCTGACAAAGATTCGAACCCTAGACCCCACGATTATCAAACTGTTGTTGTAACCAACTGAGCTTATCGATCAACGGTTGAACCCTGACCGAGTTGCGCTACATTTATACCCGAAACAAACTTAGAGGAGTTTTTTTAGGTTAAACTAACTACAATGTTTTGCCTAGAGTTGAACCGGGATCCTTAAGTTACAATGAATTAATTCACGTACACAGGATGTACCACATAACATTGTTGCAAAGACGGTCTGTGATGTCATACATGTAACAACGTCACAAAGCATGCATATATTATAATGTCATTAACGCACTTCATGCAATATGCATGCTAGCTGAGACAAGTCTTGATATGCGTTCAAGTAACTCAGATACAGCGAAGAACGCATGCATATCAAGAGAAAAAATTCGATTTTGCAAACTTGTATGTAAATATTATATTATATTGCAATAAATATATACCTTAAATGGAGCCTGACTGGAAACGGCCATTGTCGCCTTCCTCCAATCATCTCCATGACGACCAGTCTGTTGCCATACAGACGTTTCCTGACCATTGGTATCCACAAGGATTTCCAGATTGGAGGTAGATGCAGTCATCGCGTACCAGAACTGGATACAAACTGCCCCGCCATTGATTGTTGTGGTGTTGATAGAGGAACTAGCGCCGTTAGGTTTAAACATTGTGTAAGGGTAAATATATGATCCTCCTACAATAGCACCACAAATAGTTCAAAACATTGTCCAAAGGTAATGTAATATCTAATAAGATTTATCTGAATGTATGTTCTTGTGCAATCTTTGAAACATTTATGAATAAACATGCACTTTTAATATAAAGAACATTTGGTTATATCATTGTCATATACAGACTTTTTCAAGAAATTTGTAAATTACACTCTTCGTTATAACGGTCGTATGGAATTTATTTAGGGCACCATTTGCTTTTTTCACTTTCTGGCTGCAAAAAAGCGTAAAAGGTTTTTTAACGTTCTCAAACTGCAATTTGTCGTCGCCGCAACAAATTTCTAAACAGCGTTTTGTTACTTTTTCTGCCTGTCGTGGTAAGCCGAATAGCGCCATTTTATTTCATAAAAACGACCTTTTTCCGGATAGTGGTTCATCGTCGAAAGAGAAATAATAAACAAAGATGCGTTCAATTTAATTCTTGAATTTGTTGAGAATGAGTGATATATGGACATTATATATATATATTTGTCCTTACAGGTAGAGTTATTATTCTAGAACACTGACAGGTCAGCAAGGGCAGAACCGTCTTCCTCACCGACCGCCCCTCCACTTTGAAAACTAACAATTAGTACACAGGCTTGAACTTTGTAATATCAAAAATTTATAATTAGAGACAAATTAGTTCGTAATCTTCTTTTCAAAATACAATATGTAGTAAGGGTTCAGGGATGATTTCTTTGTTAATATCAGAGATCTTTTTTTCTTCTTTGTTTATAACCGGCATTTCGTTAAGGATGTAAATTGACTTTCTATTTACCACACAGCATTGGTAAGAATCGTTTTTCATGCAAATAGCTGACAAATATTTCAAATGACAATAGGTGTAAATCTAACTTGTACCGTGAAGAGAATGTACTCCTGAGTACAATGTTAATGGCGAAGTTGCTATCCTCCACTCTAAGTCTTGGTTATCTGTAGGATGACTGAAGCTACAGAATCCACTGTCGAAGTCACAGCTCTGGCTCAGTGGTGTTACATTGATATCGGAACAACTGCTGTTAGACAGAACGTGGACATGAGTCGGTCTTGTGGAGGCCACTGATCTTGCACCAGTACTATGGAATGTTGTAATTGTGAATCCTGTAGAAGAGAAGAAATTTGTTAATAAAAGATTGATTGAATCTGTTTGTAACATATATACTTGTTATTTGACTTAGTAATATGTACGCACATATAACAAATACATGTATTTTTAAATTTTACAACAAAAATATACTTTGGCAATGTAATTACAAATCGATCAACAAGGTTACAGTGTTTTCACTGTTAAGAGTTTTGACGTCATAATACAAAGTCATAGCTTGACTGAGATACGTGGTGATATTATTTAACTAGACGTTAAAGCAAGATAAGCCGAATTTCTTCATTCAAATATTTGGTACCGTGTAGGATCACCATTTGCACAGAAAACAGCTTTGCAGCGTCGTCACATTACTTTGCCGAACAATGAATAACGTGAACGATAATATTGTCCCATTGATAAGTTATCGATTGGGCTACATGTAGCTCCTGCAAGTTAGACGGCTGGTTTTGATGTCGACTAACGCGTCACTAAGGAACACCCCAAACGTTCTCAATGTCACGTCATTTAGAATGGTCAGCCCAGCATTTTAACATGTTTTATTGTTGAAAGGTTTCGTTGATACTACATGTACCTGATATGTGATAGCACGTTATATTGTTTAAACATAGCTTATGAGTATATTTCCGCTGTTAGGTGAAGGATAATCTTAACGAACGTGTTTGATTACAATAACATTCTTTATATTTCCAAAAAAGGTATATTTGACGACCTTGATTCATGTATTAATTTACATGATACGCATGCAGAATAGATGTTTTGCGCTGTTATCAAACTTGTTTTGCCTCACTGATACATTATCTTTTGTGCTAAGTCACTATGATGTAATAAGATAAAGAAGCCAGTGGAGAATGTCAATGTCAAATTAAAGATTAGATAGAATTATCAAGCACTACTAACGTGTCCAGCAAATAGAATGTGACAGAATATGTTTTACTATGAATTTGATACTTGCACCATCAAAGTTTTCGTTTCGTTTTATTTTTTCATCAAATCATTATTTTTATTGTTACTTTAAGTCTTTCAACGGATTTTAAATTAGCGCGCTCTACATGAAAGGAGATGGTGATACATTTCAAAAGTGCAATTGTGCGTGTTAAAACGGACCAGGTATAAAAGGTGAAATGTCTACTCGACTAGTGCAGACCCGATGGTACACACATCCAGTAGATATAATAAGAATACAGATAATATAGAAATTATGGTCATTCTAACATATTGTACCGCAAGATTTACATAAAATACTAGTTGCAGAATAAAGTATCTGTTGTAGCTAAGCATTGTAACTTTGTCACGTAATAAGAATGTTATGGGCACCTTTCCTGTTTTCTGTTTTTCCTAAACATATTTCGGAACACTTTGGACATAGATTTTCATACGTTTGACCTTAGATCCGCTGACGTAACATTTGTTTGGCTTAACATCAAGAAACTAAATCTCTAAATAAGTGCTTATGCTTACATCGTATTTAAGTGAATATTTACCGAATATAATGAACAACTATGTAATACATGTAAATAACTCAATCAATATTTTTACTTTAAAATGCATTAAAAACACATGTATAGTTAATAAATGCAATTAGGAATATGTTTCCTCCTGTATCGATGATTGACTCAAACCATGTTTAAACATATCCAAATAAGATTCATCCGATTGGTATGAATTGTGAAGACTGAGCGTTTTAAACAAAATTAGGAAAGTCAGCTGTCTCGACCATAACAGCTGACTTTAACTTTTCAGCAAACTGTGGCTTAATGAGTTGTTTTTCAGGTTTTGCGTGAATGTTTTCGATAATGTTCAATTCCAGGTTGTGTTAAAAACAAACTTAGTCTTTACATTAAAATTGATCCTGATAATGTAAGTTGTATCCAGTACATTCATATCAATGCTGATTTAAGAGGAATATTCTTACAACTGTTTTATTAGATAGTTACCACTACAGTGTAGCTAAGTACACTCTACATTACGTGAAGAACAACATACCTAGACATATCAAGTAGAAAAGTCTCCATCCTAAGATATGTTTTCCCATCTCTGTGTGGAAGTTGGCGCGATAATAACTGGTTTAGGATAAATTTACTAACTGAACTATATAGATATAAAATCGGTTTTTTTCTAATCTATACCTGAGATATGTTACGGGCACGATTTACCGTTATCAGCAGTAAAGTGTTGATACACCGTAGTGCGATATTAATGATTGGATAGCGAGAGATTGATATCCAGCTCAGCGGCAGTGACTTCGACAAAACACGATATTGTTTGATCTCACTATTTGTGGACGTATCAAATATTGCCAACATAATAATTATTAATAAGCTAGAAATCGGAATCTGGTAAATAAGCTTTAATTGAATTATTACTTGATTGCTATGTGTAAATACATGTACTTCCTTTGATTGGTTGATTGTTTGTGGGTCCTTAAAAAGGCCATTAAATATCCGAACAAAATATTTGGTTGTTTATGTGTGCCTTTGTGATAACTGTGTATGTGATGTACTCGACATTATGATGTTGAACAGTTTCACAATCTCTACTACAGGAAAGTCAGTAATGGTAAATGTCGACCATTTTGCAGAGAAATACTTATGCTCTAGTAATATCATGTTTGATAGGAATATTTCAAAACTTTAAAAAAAATCACGATGATTATTTGTTAAGATCATGTTACCGGCAATGAAAATGTAAAATTCTGACCAACCTAATTTGGTACCTTGCCGATTTTTTATTATTATAAGTTACATATGGTATATATTGGTACATATCGATATTCTTTTCTAGCTCTCTTTAGGTTTAGGAATTTAAAAAAAAATCAATGAAATATTATTGTTGATATGATAGATTAGCATGCAAGGTAGTGATCACTTATCACAGAACTAAGATCGTCATAGTGTAGCATGTCCATGCGTAGTTGTTTCACATTTGCTAGGCATTTCTGACCTATCGAGGTCACTTGATTAGTAGATTCGTGGTATTTCCAAATAGAAACAAAAATATTGATTATATATTACCACAGCATTAGAACACAAGGACAAAATTGAGCTCGAAAATTCCCAACTGGAACAGAATGATACCAAAATAGAAACAAAGAACGGCATCGTGATCCTTTACATTCAAAACGAGGGTAAACTGGGTTGTCCGGAAATATTAGATGTCCCTGCACCACTTGTGGTCCCCATCATGTTGTCAACTGTCCACCGCTGACTCAAACATTCAAATCTGACAAATACTGACAGAGAGTTGACATGTGCATTGTAAACAGACAATAACAGATAAAAAAAAAGGTTACCCGAGTCTTAGGTTTAGCTTACTGAAAAAGAGTAACAATCCATAAACACAGAACATCAGCTGTTTCCATGGACAACACATATCATTCAGACACTAAATACAAATGAACATGTACACCCAATGTATTCCGAAAACGTTTGGGATACGTCAGAAACATGATAGACACACTAAATAGCGATTTCAACATTGATACTATATAATTCCAGTACCACTGTACCCAAATTAAGAAGTCATCTGCTCGTAGTTTAGAAGACGAAGTTTTTCACCCCGTCTAGTCACACCAAAACACTTCAATATGACGGGCGATTGTGATTGCATTCTCAGGGTCTGTTTTCTTCTAGAGTATGTTTATTCATATGTATACTTTAATTGGTGCACAATCTGATTATGATAACATTTGACTGAATTGTAAGTTTTATATCATGAATGTTGCATTTCTCGAGCTTTACCAGACGGCTTCACTGCGGTTTATTGACCTTCTACATAAGTAGATATGTTACACACATTTGATTTACCTTCGACGTCTTCAACAGTTAACAAAATCTTCTGCTGTACGTAGACAAAGATAAGTATTGAATGCTGAATAATTCTTGCGGATACAGAAATATTGCTTAATTTAAAGTATTCGGTAAAATTTAGCTTTTTAAGCTCCAGCCCTTACGACAAGAGAGCATCAGTCCAATTTTATTTGAATTAAGTCAAAAGCTTTGAAGAGGACACAGGGTGTCTAATACCATGCCTTTGTCTGCTGGCGTACAATAACGCCAAATACTCACCATATGTAGAGAGTTTCATTGCGATTGGCTCGACAGTTTTGTTGAAGTTATTCAGACAATGTTTATTGTTTGATTTAAAGGAATAAAAAAGTATCGAAATGAAAAAACTAGTTGCAACTATAATGTACCTTGCATACTTATAAATTGTACAAAATATCAAAATTCGTTATCAATACTGAAATAACTTTATAATCATAGCAGGCATATAACTGTTCATGTCATGTTCTCGATATAACAAGAATAAACATTGACATTTCTTAGTTGACTATTGGGGTCCAAGGGATCAAAAACAACATGTAACGTTGTATAATATAACATTTCAAAGCCTATAAGGTACCTTGTAGAATATCCCCAGGTTTAACACCTTTTGTCTGTCTCTGGAGGTCAGGGACCATGTATCAGTTGCATGGTTAGTGGGTTTGGTTTAAGTCGTAATATCTCCATTAACACGAAAAAGGGGCTTTCAATGACATTTTCCCTATACACCTTTTTAGGTCATGTCATTGATTTTTTCAGTTCAAGAGATATGACATACCATTAAAACCTTAATTCTTCAGGCCAACACACTTCCAAGACTGAATTAATTACCTTCTAAAAGTGATAATCTCAACCATATAGTGTTTTGCACAAGGATATTATTGATTTTTTATTACTGAATCCCCTTTTTTTGGCCCCTAAACACTCACTGATACATATCGTTGGATCCCCGTATCGTATTGACCGTTCCAATAAAGTCAACTCAAATTTAGTTTGGTAGTTTGAAGAGGAAATCGAAAACGTATACCGGTTCAGACTACTTGTAAAAAATGTCCCACTATTTACCGATACAAAAAAAATGACAGGTGATAATTAGACTAGAAAATAGTTTTATAACTTCTATCTGCGACAGGTTTACGCCGAGTGCAACTATTTGTTAGAAATTTGTATACCTTCTGGTACATTATGTATAATAAAACGTATTTCACGTCATTCAAATTGTGCGACATTGCCAGAAATTAGTAGACGGTGAAACTATATATCGTTTTGTGTCAATTGTACCCTCCGAGTTTCTGCTAAAATTTAAATCTGCGAATTTCTAAAATAGTATAAACATTCTATCCTATAATCAAATATATTCAAAATACATAGCCAATCATCTGGAGACAAGCATTTTACCATTTAAGAACAAGTACCCGAATAAACGAAATATTATAATAACTTGCAAATTTAACGAATATAAACAAAACCATAACAAAAGCAGTCTAAAATATCTTGCTGATTTTTAAATTCACTTTATTATTTGGAAATCTGGTTACATTTGATCACAGATGGACTCTGGTTAAAATTATGTTCTCTCTCTCCAACTACATGTAGCTACATGTATACCTCTCTCAACTTCTAGTTCAGTATTAGGCACCCTCATAACATCGCCTCTCCTATGCCGCAGGACCCTATTGCCTACATTTACATTGTTACTCTATTACATGTACATACATTCGCATTGCTTCCTCTATTACATATATTCGCATTGCTATTCTTATACATAACCTAAGAATAATTATACTGGTAAAAAGCAGGAAGATAACATTTAGGAGCAATGATATAGTTTGGATATATACAGTTTTTAATTTGTTGAAGCATCTTAAATTTTAATTTTATTTCATTTATAAATTTGTCCTCGTGGCTAGATCCAACCTTCACTTGCATACACGCATCCTGTTATCGTATATCTCTCATCTATTTCGTCATACAAAATGTAAAACATAGTATCATTATATTATCAGGCATTTCAATCTCACACATTGATATCTAACATGCTATCTTAAAATGACATATATATATATAGATTATTTACCTGTATAAATACAAAATACAATCACCAAATTTTTAAGAAATCCTTTTTCCGTGTTAAATTAAATATGCATAATATTCCAATAGGTTAAATATGTACTCGGTATATACCAAATCAATCTAGTCTGATGTCATTGATGCTTTTTACATTGTAAGTTCTATTCCGACACTGAACTATCTTTGAATGTTTAAATACAGTTTGATTACATGAACATGACTGATGACAAATGTAGATTGTGAAGGAGTAATATAATATACCAAAAACCCTTATGCTTTATAAGTGTTTATTTTTTAATATATATGTTTTTTTACCATTGGTCTTTATTTGCATGTGTGCAGGCAGTACAACTGGTATCAGAATTTCCGTAAAAAATGCACACTTCCTGCTTGAAAAACTCGCAATACGAATCAGGGAGACTATTGTCATATTTCTAACACAGCGTTATGTATTTATAACGACAACATCCAGTATAATGTTGTCAGTGCCGTATGATCATCACATACATTTATAACAATATTAAAAATGGTTAGTGAAATCAAATAAAGGTTTTATAAACATGTTTACTTTAAACATATCAAAAGAGAAGACGCGTAGTTCATTTACATTACCAGACCTCAAATAAAAAAGAAAGCGCGTAAATATATCCCCTGATTGTGTTACAATCGGGGCAAAGCCGCTAGAGATTTTCTTACAGATACATGTATATCTAAACATAATATTAGAAAAGAGTGTAATATGACTCTAATGAATTTCGAACTATTTTGAATTATAATATAAGGGATTCTATCATTGAAGGTACGTGTATTTTACACTGAAAAACAAAGACCTTCAGACAGCACCGTGGTGTTTATATTAATGGACCAGGGTTACATTGTTTGTTGTTGTAGAATCCAGGTTACACGAACAATAAATATTTTCATATATTTTTTTATAAGGCTATAAAAGTACTTAAGTCAGAATATACCTTGTTTTACATCGCTTTTCTTAATATACTTAACGCTTAATTACAGCTGTAACTTGTAATGATACAAGTATATACATTGTAGTTATTGTTAACATTTATATGCTTATGTCACATGTATATACGAAAAATTAACAGTACACACATTAGCAGTCATATCGCAACAATGCAAATCTTAACAACAGATTGAACAAATGTGGTTAGATTTATACCATTGACAACAAGTTCGTGTACATAAATGACCTACAATGGAAATGTTTAATTAATCTATAAGAAAATGTTAAATTACATTAAAAGGGAAACAGTTAATTACCGTACAATAGAAACGTCAAACTTACAATGGAAACATTAAATTAACTTTCTACGGAAACGTTAAATAAGCTTACATTGGAAACGTCAAACGTACAATGAAAACGTTAAACAACCTTAGTATGGAGACGTTCACCTTTCAATGGAAACATTAAATTACCGTCGTTCAATGGAAACGTTAAATTACCTTACAATGAAATCTTTAAATTTCCTGACAATGGAAACATAATTACGCTCTATATCATAAAGATTTTGTTCTACCTAGCTTCCAATGAATTAGTACAGGGTAAATAAGACTGGCTGACACTAATTACACGTTATTTCAATAACAAACATGGTTTATCATCACGTATATCGCTACATGGCTGTCAAGGAAATACCAATTCAGCATGATCAACACCAGTGATGCACTATTTGATATTACAGCTACGTCATTTCATCACACATAATCTATTTTACCTCCGAGGTACACAATTTACGGGAATTCAGCAGGGCGAATACTTATTATGAACTACTGACATAACAGCCATATCGCATCATCATGCATTTGTAGCTACACGGTTGTCAAGGAAGAGGTTCCCGTAAATAGGAATTGCAAACACTTTTTTTATATATTATTGATATGCCAGTCATGATATATCCAAGGTTACATTGCATGTTACAACAACAGACAATCAGATTATTTTTTTATGTTCCAATTGTACATTCTGTTTAATATTAATTGTATTTATAACACATCCTTGTTAATTCTCATACAAAAAACAACTAAATCTGATTTTCACTCTGGACCGTCCGTTAATTATCCTAGCTGTAAACTATTGAAAAATACACATCAAAACCTGCGCGTTACCGTTTATTAAAAGCATCAGTTTGTATGTTCTTTAATTTGTACAGGCATCAACAGTATCTCTTGTGTTTGCTCATTAAATTACTTAAATAGTCGTTACTTTTATCATTCCTTTCATTATAAGATGTTCAGGAATGTATTCATCACTGATATACGATTTATCTAGTTGAGAACTTTTTCTTTTTGCTGCCCAAGTCTTTCTAATGACAATTAAGGCCAGAACCACAGCACAACACCCAATGATGGATCCAACGATAATCCCCGTTTTGTGACTGCTGGAGAACGACACGTTATTTTGAGCGTCTTTGTTTCCAATATTGCTAATAGAAGAAGTCATGGTCGACGCAGGACCATGAATGCTATGGTGTTCTCTGTGACCGGAAGAAGTTGATCGATGTGACGATGTTTGAGTCGGAAAAGAAGATTTAATTCTAGGCGTAGATACAGAAATTGATGAATTATGGGTTGACGCCATATTTGTAAATTGTATTGTATTTAATTCCGATGTTGTTGATATTTCCAACGATTGGTCCGTTGTTACTGGCGTTGTCGATTGCTCTGATAATGTTGAAGATGTCGTCTTATTTGTTACTTTGGGTGATATTTCTGACACTTGTTCGGTTGTTGGCTTCGTTGAAGGTTTCTTTGTTTCCTTAGCTGTTGTGTGCTGAACAAATTTATGGATGTGGTTCACTGATGATGTTTCATCTGTTGTTATTTCTGCATTTGTAGATGCTGCTGTTGTTGTTGGTATCTTAATTGAAACTTTTGTTAGTGTTGTTATTTGTGCTGTTGTTGATATCTCTGATGTGGTTAGCTTTTGTATAGTCGTAAGTTTCGTGCCTGTAGTAGTTGGTTTAGTTGTTGGCGAAGCGGATGTCGCAGCTGTTGGCGTAGTGGTCGTAGTCGTTGTCGGTTTCGTTGTTAGTGAAGTGGTGGGTGTCGTGGATGGTAGTGTGATTGATGAAGTGGTTTGTGTAGTGGTTGGTGTAGTTGTAGGTGTAGTGGTTGGAGTAGTTGTTGGTGTTGTGGTTGGTGTCATGGTTGGTGTAGTTCTTGTTGTTGTTGGTGGTGGTGTAGTTGTTGGTTTTGTGGTTGGTGTCTCGGTTGGTGTTGTAGTTGTTAGTGTAGTTGTTGTTGGTGTAGTTATTGGTGTCGTGGTTGGTGTCTCGGTTGTTGTTGTTGTTGTTGTTGTTGTTGTAGTTGTTGTTGCTGTTGTTGTTGTTGTTGGTGGTGGTGGTGGTGGTGGTGTAGTTGTTAGGGTTGTGGTTTGTGTAGTTGTTGGTGAAGTGGTTGGTGTAGTCTTTGGTGTATGAGCTGGTGTAGTGGTTGGTGTTGTGGATTGAGTCGTTTTTGGTGTCGTGGTTCGTGAAGTGGTCGGTGTAGTTGTTGGTTTAGTAGTTGGTTTAGTGGTTGGTGAAGTTATTTGTGTTGTGGTTGGTGTCGCGGTTGGTGTAGTGATTGATGTTGTGGATGGAGTTGTTGTTGTTGGTGTAGTTGTTGGTGTAGTGGTTGGGGTAGTTGTTGGTGTCGTGGTTGGTGTAGTCATTGGTGTTGTGGATGGTGTTGTTGTTGTTGTTGGTGTAGTTGTTGGTGTAGTGGTTGGTGAATTTGTTGTTGTCGTGGTTGGTGTAGTCATTGGTGTTGTGTATGGTGTTGTAGTTGTTGGTGTAGTTGTTGGTATAGTTGTTGGTGTAGTGGTTGGTGTAGTGGTTGGTGTAGTTGTTGGTGTAGTGGTTAGTAAAGTGGTTTGTGTAGTTGTTGGTGAAGTGGTTGGTCTATTTGCTGGTGTAGTAGTTGTAGTTGTTGGTGTAGTCTTTGGTGTCGTGTTTGGTGTAGCTGTTGGTGTTGTGGTTGGTGTAGTGGTTGGTGTCGCGGTTGGTGTAGTGATTAATGTTGTGGATGGAGTTGTTGTTGTTGGTGTAGTTGTTGGTGTAGTGGTTGGGGTAGTTGTTGGTGTCGTGGTTGGTGTAGTCATTGGTGTTGTGGATGGTGTTGTAGTTGTTGGTGTAGTTGTTGGTGTAGTTGTTGGTGTAGTGGTTGGTGTAGTTGTTGGTGTCGTGGTTGGTGTAGTCATTGGTGTTGTGGATGGTGTTGTTGTTGTTGGTGTAGTTTTTGGTGTAGTTGTTGGTGTCGTGGTTGGTGTAGTGATTGATGTTGTGGATGGTGTTGTTGTTGTTGTTTGTTTACTTGTTGGTGTAGTGGTTGGTGTCGTGGTTGGTGTAGTGGTTGGTGTAGTGGGTTGTGTAGCGGTTGGAGTAGTTGCTGGGGGAGTAGTTGTTGTAGTTGTTGGTGTAGTCGTTGGTGTCGTGGTTGGTGTCGTGGTTGGTCTAGTTGCTGGTGGAGTAGTTGTTGTAGTTGTTGTAGTTGTTGGTGTTGTCGTTGATGTTGATGTTGTTGTAGTTGTTGGTGTAGTGGTTGGTGTAGTGGTTTGTGTAGTGGTTGGTGTAGTTGCTGGGGTAGTAGTTGTTGTAGTTGTTGGTGTTGTCGTTGATGTTGATGTTGTTGAAGTTGTTGGTTTTGTGGTTTGTCTAGTTGTTGATGTCGTTGTTTTTTTCGTTGTTGGTGTGGTGGATGGAGTCGTGGTTGGCATTTTTGTTGTAGTCAAAGGATATTCCCATATTTTGATGTCGTCCAAACCCAGGTTAGTGTAATGATAAGGTTTTACAAATTTGAATTCAATCTGCAAAGCCAAAATGTCAAAAGACAGTTATAAATAGGTACTATAATTGGATTTTATGATATATCAATATTACAATCAATAAACAGATGTAAGGTTCTTTATAATTCAAATATTGAGTTAACTACATGTATACTTAAACACTTCTGAGCTGATGTAAAAAAATAACCAATAAGATGAAAAAATCATGAAACGTTCAATAATTGTTTTCATGAGCTATGATTAATAATGATTTTCGTATTTCTGTTCGTCGTTTCAATCCAATGTGTAGGGTAAGCCCTTGAAGGTGCAATATACAATCACAACGTTGATTGGTTTGGGTTTGTTTGGGGGCTTTAAGGTCCCATTGTAACAGCTCAGGTCATTCAAGGACGTGCCTCCATGTGTGTAGTGTATGAGTGATTGCGTGTGTGTGTGCAGGAGACAGGGTATGTAGGTGTGCTTTCCTCCTTGTGATAGCGCGGATCTGATGCCGATTAGAAACGGTGGGTGATGTACATGTACAATTTAAAAGGAACGTGAGCAGATAATCCAACATAAATATGGAGTGGTCTTTTTTAAACAGAGTTTGTTTAATTTTCTATTGTCTCTTTCCAATTTTTTCCGAATTTAATTGAACAAATTTCATTTTACTTCATTACCAGAATCTGATAAAATGCTTTAATTACTTATACTCATACATTTAACCGAAAAACTGATTGTATGGGAACAGTGTAATATTATGTGTTTGAGTCATGTACTATTTTACCTAAAAATCCGAAGTAAAGCAGTCAAAAGTTTAACCAAAAACCAGTCACATTTTTCGTTTGAAAAAGGGAAAACATCGAAGCAAATTTATTGGTGTATGGTATCATATGGTTAGACTTTGTTTAGAAAAATAATGAAATATATAGAATGTATGTGTAGAGCGTTGATTTTAGAAAAGTACGACATGTTGTTGCTGTAAGATTAAAGATAATGATCGATAAAACTGCAGAATGCACAATCTAAGTGTATGTGATCTAATACTTCATAGATTTTTACCTTAAATTGTATCTGACTGGAAATTGCCAATGTCGCCGTCCTCCAATCACTTCCAGGTTTACCTGTCTCTTTCCATAACAACGTCTCCTGACCGTTGATATCCACCAGAACCTCCAGATTGGATTTTGAATTGGTCATTGCGTACCAGAACTGGAAACACACAGCCCCGCTGCTGATGAATGGGGTATAAATGGAGGAACTACTAGGTGGGTAGATAAATCTTCCTGTCAAATAGATCGTGTTAATCTCACATTAATTGTCTCTCATAATGTATTCGAAAGCAATACAATACATGTATACATTCCTTTACAATTTGTTTTATCATGGAGAACATTAAGATATTTTACAGTCATGTGTTTACTAATTACAATAAAGAAGTAAAAGCAGTTGTTTGTGGTATCATGCACATAATACATCGGATGTCTCTGATAAAAAGTACTCCCATCAGGTGAGTTTGCAATACATGTATTTTACACTTCTTCACATGATATCCTCCCGATACAAAATTAAGGACAGGCGCTGAACCTTTTATTAAATTTCAACAAAACAAACAGGAACGGCTAATTAATAAGCTGTGCAATTTTCACTTTTCTATTTTGAACTTTCCCTTTCTTGACTGGAATATCCCCGTCCTCTTCTTCGGTATTGACATGTACATGTTGCAGTTCATTTGGGATTTTCACGAGCGTCCTCCGTACATCAGGATTCTATGTTAAATGTCGTCTGATGACCGACAAACTTTTAACATAAGGCTTTGAAAGATGTGATTGATAAAAAAAGGGAAGGTTTTATTGTGTTGTTCCTGATGAGATATGAAGTGAGGTGTTTTGAATATGTTCATAGGTGTGTCTTGTTGGTTCATTGGCTCTACCATTGTTTTCATTTTGAGAATATGAATTAACTTGGATTGTCATAAATGCATGGCGGTTGTCGTCGCTGAAGGAAATGACGCTTACCCTTTCGATACACCTAGTCTTGTTTCAAGGATAGTCATGTACATAACGTCTTTGTTTACGTTTTGCCTTAGTTTTATCGATTCTGAGTTCGATTTATGTTTTTGGTCACATTCCGGTAATTATAATACACCAGACGTAAATAACGAGTGAAGATGAGTATTATGATATTAGGTTTCAAAATCAAAGTTACAACCCACTATTTAATAACAAAGCACTTGCCTATTATGACAGTTATTACCAAGTGCGTTGTAGAGTGTGTTATGCATTGTAAAAATTTGTTTTAAATATAATTTAAAAAATCATTTTTCTGGTTTGTTGTCACAAAAGGCTGAACCCGTAGGTCTATGCCAGTCCACATTAACCGTATTACACACAAATTAAATGACAATTACTTACACTGTAGCACAGCTACAGCCCATATAGTATGGGTAATGTAAAGACATCCTGGTTAAAATATGATAGTTTTAAACCTCAGTATTTTCAGGATGCTATGAGTCTTTGAAACATCAATATAAAACGTCAATTTCAGATACATTGTACAATGTTAATTATCAACATGTGTACAGGCAACTATGTATTTTGTTGTATCCAGATTATGATATGGAGTCAGACAAGAAAGTTTTAAGTTTAATTATTGAGTCAATAGCATAATTTCCTCATCCAGTTCACGAATTCCAGGGATACTTGTTCGTCTATTGTTAAGATAAAATGGTTTTGTTTGCAACAGTTTTTTTTTAAATTTTAACATTGTAATATCTAGACGTCAGTAATTCACGTGAAATTCATCTGTAAGGAAGGTATACACATCAAATATATATTCAGTAATATGTTTACATCGTAGGAATGGCTATATTTATATATATAATGAATGTTATGCTTCCATTTAACATGGTCTTAATGTTGAAGTTTTTCTGTCTGTCTCGTAAGTACGGTTTGCATTTGACCATGAAACTTTCCTGCAAAAGTTTATTACAACGGTTCCAATCCCAATAGGTCAACTAAAAATTTGAATGTGGTGACCTCAATTTGGCTACTCCGGCATTTCTGTTTGGGTATAGTTGATTTCATTCGAATATGGTGTGTATATCCATATCAGCATATATAAAGCAGGGTAAATTCGATTGACAATTTGATGTGTGTATATCAATGTGTAATAAATGAGGCAACCAGCTTCGGATTGTTTTATCGGCATCCGTGTTATAACTCTAATAAAAAGGTGCGATTTTGAGCAAATGGTGAGCACATTTATATTGGCAAGATCAGGTTTAGTTCGAATGAATGCATTCATGCATATTGATCTTTCTAACGAGCCAAACAACTTATGATTGGTCTTTCAGTTTCCGTGCAAGTACGTACTCCGTTAGCATGGGTTTGATTTCATCCATGTTTTGACATAAAATCTATAGTATTTTGCATTTTTATTTTTCTGATTTCCTGTTAAAAATCGGTATTGATGATACTTGTATGGGATATGAAATATTATCTCCTTATATTATCTTGAACCATAATATTTAAAAATGTTTCTATCACATGCATTTTATAACCTCAGTAGGTTAAATTCTTAAAAGGTGTATTCACATTACCGTAAAGGTAAGGTTCAATAAAAACATAGTTACATATTTGCAAACTGTCACAAACACTACCTAACAAAATTGTCATTGCAGTTTAAAGCGGGTTCTATGTTTTATTGGTTTTGATATCTTCAAGTGAAAATCTCTTCCGGCTATCGTATGTAAGGAAGCACCGACATTTTAGAATGTATTTATTTTGTAACGAGTATGTGTCCCGATGGGTATAAAAATGCATTACCCGTCAAACCGGTTATCAATTGTTCAACGTGTATACTATACAAATAGAACATTTTCACGATTAAAATTTATAATCAGAACAGTTGAATAAAACGGCAATGGAAAACATCAAAGATATAATTTATCTAAGAAAAAGTACAGTCCCCTACCAACTAACCCCCCCCCCCCCCCCCCCCCCAAAAAAAATAAATAAATATAATAACAAAAACAAAAACAAACAAACAAACAAACAAACGACCCTGAAAGAAATAAACATATGACTAATACATATAGTTGTTCGCGTGTGGGTGCAGTTATATGTACGTGAAAGACTTATGATTCAGTGATGCGTATTTTATTTTGAATACCCAATTTCCGAGAATGTGCCATAAGTAACAACCAGCTTGACAATGATTCAAAGTTTTCAGGTTACATGTAATTAGATTGTTCATGTCGGTTGCTGATCAGAGTGCGCGGTGTATTGAATCGCAAGAGGGTCAGTGGTAGAATAATAACAAGTTTCACGTGTAATGCGCTTTTTATACCCAGCGGGACCCATACTCGTTTCCAAGTAAGGACAAACTGAAATGTCGGCGTTTTATTTAAAACGATAGCCGGAAGAGATTGGTACTGGGGAAGATATCAAAACCAGAAAAAAATAAAACCTTTTTTTTTTGAAATCTCAATTGAAAGCTTTTAACTTGCACTGTCAGCATTTAACCAAAGGTGTTAATTTTGATGAGCATTTTTTTTGTGAAAGATTCATTTAGAAAATTATGATAAATTCGCTCCTTAAGATAAGAAACGAAAAAAAGGGTACACTTTCATTTACATAATTATATCAGAGGTGAGAAAAATCGATTGACATAAACACGAAAGGATTTTGTACACATCTTTTTTCAATCGTGTCATTAGGTGGCTCATGATCGTCATTGTATTCCATTTTGAGCAAACATGTAAATACCTTCTGTTACACACAGAACAGAAAATCTAAGTGGGACTGAGACTGTTTTTTCTCATAGAGGTTAAAAAAATCAATATTTCAATGTAGTCCTTGTAAGTTGGATAAATATATCATTCGAAAGAATTAAACAATATGCATTATCCAGAAATTGGTATACTAACTACGGATTTTTCCATGAACATATATACTAGCTATTAATTTAAACATTAAATTGCATCAAAGCTGCGTATATTTCCAGGAACTTACATTGATAGTTGCTTACGCACGATTGACTATTTCTGGAATGTGTAAACATTCAAATTAATTCCCATCATCTGAATACATGTTGTGAACTATTTGCAAAAACAACTCTCAAAACAAGACAGTTAAATATTTTGATTTAGCACTGAAATAGCATAATATTCCTGCATTTTTTTTTTTCTTATATCGATTTCTGGAAAAAAGAAGATAATGGCATAGTAGAAAATGCAAAAAACAATATATATGTCCGAGTGTTTGTTTTTGTGCTATGATCGGTAAAAGATACCGATTTAACACAATATGTGATATTAGGTGTTTTTTTTTGGTTTTGACCATTTGCAGAACAAATTCATACATTAATGTACAATTTCTTCCTAGTGGGTTATCAGATATGAATGATGTTTTTAGAATTGATAAAGGCGATTTAATTTACCCCTATCACCATTTTTTGAAGATTAAACGATAAAAAGGGGCTGCTATTACAAGTAAACTTTTTTTTAATATTTAATGAATCAAACGAAAATGTGTTTCTCTTTCTAAAACAGCCACAAAAATAGAGGGTCCTATGCTTCATTTTTGTCCCATTATTATTTGTGTTATTAACACCTATTTCGGGGTCAAAAGCAAAAGTGCTTCAGTTACATTAGATATGTGACAAAAATACCAATAATGTATAATTTTCCACTTTGTTGCATATTATTTTTATCATATTGAATATTTTAAAGTTGTACAGCAAAATTGAACCTGCTACAATTAAAAATGACGACACAGTGACTGTTATCATTGAAATAACACAATGTAACTGACTTTCTGTTATACAGATGGCAAATGACAATATATATATTGAATTACCGTTGTGAAGAGAAGTGACGCCTGCGTAATATCGTAGAGTTGATGCCTTCCACTGTTGTTGACCGAAGCCACAGAAATCACTGTTGAAGTTACAGCTTTGACGCAGAAGTTTCACATTGGTATCGGAACAACTGTTGTTGGACAAAACGTGGACAATAGCTGAACTAGTAGTGGCCACTGATCTTGCCTCTATGATGTGGAATGCTGACATAGTAAATCCTGCAAGAAGATAACAAAAATGGTTACAAGCAGATTTATGGAATCAGGTCGTAGCATGTATGTTAGCACTGTGTATATATCTTAAAACAAGTAAATATATTGATATATCGCACAATAAACATGATACTTCACGACAGCAAATCATTTAAACACAAATCGAACACTGAGACTGCAGCATTGCCTCTATCAATAGTTGTGATGTCATACTACAAAGACATGATTTGATTCTGTGAAATCAAAATCAAATAATGTGACGCAATTGACTAAACCACTTGAGCAAGGTATTTGCTGTATATATTTCAGTTAAATAATAATGATAAAATAACTATAACATCACTGTTGCTTTGGTGATTTCAATCTTTAACTCTTGGATGAATTCAATCATAAATATTACTTAGATGCTTGAAAGTTTCATAGACCATTTGTGAAAAATGTGTTTACATGTAAAACCAGTAGTACATGTATTAGTTTTCATCACATGATATTTTATTAATTTATCTTGCTCGTTCTGTATTGCTTTTCGCAAAACAAATGTTCACTAATTTGAAAATGAAGTAGGGTTTCAAAAAATTAAAACGTTAAAAAATCAGAATAAGAAAGAGATTCCAGAATAATATGCACATACATTGTTTGTTACATACTCTAGCATCGCTTGATGATTTGGTCCCCTTTTCTATATTTAGATTACGGTCAGACACATTGTTATTTTTTCTGCATATCTTAATTAATTAATTATATTATAAGATAAAGTCGTTTTACAATGTTATAGATTTCGCAAATAGTGTAACTGCAAATCAAAATAATTGAAAAGATTTTTTTTCAAATAATTCATTCAGAATACACATCCGTGTCTTTTTTTAAGCCACTTAAGATTTATTTATTAACATACATAGAACATGTTGTTTTTAATTTCTGTCCCAATTTTACCCGACACCTGTCCTGTACAGGTAAACTTTGACGTTTATAATCTATTATTCCTTGCCTTAGCATTTCTTCGTAAAATGCTTGTCAAATGCAATTATCATTTTTTTAAATTTCATCGAGAACTATAAAACAATAATTTTATTATAATAAAGCTTGCGAATGCCTGTCAATTTTAAGTAAACAATGACAAATGCAAATCTGACACTTACTTTGTGAACGCTATAAATAGCAGCATTAATATGTACCCGAATTAATGGATGGCACATCAGTCAGACTTAAGTGTTAAATAAAGACATCATACAACAAAAGGCATTTCCGAGAGAACTGATACAATCGTTTTGGTACTGTGATTCGCGTTCGGTTATGTACAGATAAGAATTATTTTACATTTTGATAGAGAATGAAGAATTTATAAGTGTGATAAAACAACACCTAAAATACAAGCCAAATACACGAGTACATTATGATCACGCCATATCCGGGTCACAACCTAACACAATTAAAGGTACATAAGCACACTCCATACTTTCAATCTCACAAACAGCAAAAACACATTGATTGACTTTAAAAGACCTTCCAGTAAATCAATTATTAGCAAAAGCCAACTACAATAAAAAATATATCCTGAAAGAAAAAACAGAAATACATTGAAACCTTTGTTTTATGGGCAATTTTGAACAATCATGGCCGCTGCGTTATGATTATACTTAATCGACATAGAATAGATGTTATATTTATAATACAAAGTGGTATTAGAATAATGAATTCTACTTCATCCAATTCTTCTCCTTATTTATAAAACAAAAGGAGGATACCTAAGTGTCAACAAAACCTTACTTCGAACTCAGTATCGATAAAACTAGATCAAATTTTAAAAAAAAATAAAAAAAAATGAGAAACTTGAAAGCACAATGTGAATTCGACCAAGTGTTCCTGGAGAGTAAGGGTCTTCTGCTTCATCGACAACACATTTTATGTAAATGTATGTCCAATGTAAGTAATGTCACGTCTTGAAAGCGAATCTTATAAAGTAACTACAAATGACAAAACACACTAATAAGCGTAACTAGAAATTGTTGCCTAACAATTTGACGGGCTTTTCACCTATACTAAACCTAAACTAAAGGGAATATTTTCTATGCTAATGAGCACATATTATCGCCCTAGGTCTCTTGGCTATTAAGAGGCCGTATAAAGTTTTTTTGACATTTGACCCCTATGACCTTGAAATTAGGTCAACTATTTTTACAAACTAGATAGCTTATTACCTGAGCACCTTATATATGAAATATAAAGACCCAACACCTTCTAGAACTGAAGAAGAAGAATTTTTAAATGTGTTTTCAAAAATAGCACTTATGATATTACAGTTGTGGGATCGCACAGCATTACACGATGTGCGGTGTGCGAACGATTAAAATTGGACGATCATTGCTTGCGCACATTTGTGCGGACGATGGACGAACGTTGTGCGATAACAATCGTGGTTGGTGAAAATTGAGGAATGCCATAACAATATATACGGTTTCATGCATGTGTTTAAACACATAAACTTGATTATTTAGTACGTTTCTATATTCTAGCTATATATATAAGCTTATATGTCTGTCCCTACTTTCTTAAATTTAGAAATGGTGTTTTCGGTGTTTTTCAAACAACCTAAATCGACATATGTAAAATTACAACACAGTCTCGGCAATACAGGCTAAGATAGCCACTTTGTACCTGTACCTGAACCGTAGATATCCCCCGCCCGGGGCACTTACGTAACACGCCAAGAGGTGAAAACCAGGTGAAGGGGAGTAAAACGAATACAAATAACAAATACTAAACTTCCAGTTATGTTTTCATAACGGTCATACGGTATCACTTATCAGCTCTATGTGTCAGGCACATGCCAGGTAAAACTCCGGTCACTCATCAAATTGTTATTTCCCTGTTCTATTACCTAGAAGCTAAATCCATTCTTGACATTCTAACGGTCAATGCAACACTGTGTTACACGCATTGTAAAGTTGTACATAATCTTAATTATTGTGATGAGAAATTACAGTAATATATACAGTGTACATAATTGCATACGAGCCTTCCGTATTTTTTCCATTCCGTAATACTGATCAACAAATTGTATCGAATTGCACAGTTGTGCGGAGAAAGGCGCACAACGGGATGAACGATGTATGCACGCTGTGCGCACGGTATTTTTGGTGCGTTGTGCGGTCACACAACTGTAGTCCCCTACCGAAAACCGAAAGTTGACTTTTGACAAAATGTTTTTTTATTGTAATCAATAGCAATTGCTATCAGTATGCTACTGAGCAAATATCATCGCCTTGGGTATTTTGGTTATTGAGAAAAAGACGTATAAAAAGTTTTAGACATTTGACACCTTTGACCTTGAAAGTAGGTCGAGGTCAACTATTTTCACAAACTTGATAGCTAATCACTTGAGAACCTTATATATGAAACATAAAGACCCAACTCCTTCTAGAACTTAAGAAGAAGATTTTTTAAATGTGTTACCCAAAATATGAAAGTTGACCCCTACCGAAAACCGGAAGTTGACTTCTTACAGTTTTTTTTATTGCTATCAGTAACAATTGATATCAGTATGCTACTGAACAAATATCATCGCCTTGGGCCTCCTGGTTATTGAGAAGAGGCCGTATAAAGATGTTTAGACATTTGACCCCTATGCCGTTGAAATTCGGTCAAGGTCAACCATTTTCACAAAGTTGATAGCATATCACCTGATCACTTTATGCACCAAAAATACCGTGCGCACACAGTGTATTCATCGTTCGCACACCGTCCGCACATCGTCCACACATGGTGCGCACCACTGTGCGATTTAACAATCGTTCGCCCCGTTATGGGGTTCACTCTACACAATTGTGCGATTTGGTACAATTTGAAATCAATATTACGGAATGAAAAAAGTACCGAAACCTCGTATGCAATAATGTACACTGTATATTTTAGTGTAATTTCTCATCACAATGATAAAGATTCTGTATAATTTTACAATGCGTGTTACACAGCATTACAGTGACCGTTAGACTGTCAAGAATTGGTTTGGCTCCAAGGTAACCAAACAGGTAAATAACAATTTGAAGAGTGACCGAAGTTTTACCTGGCCTGTGCCTGACACATAGAGCTGATATGCGATACCTAATGACCGTAATTTAAACACACATCGACGTTTGTTATTTGCATTCGGTTTGCCTAAAGCTCCCCTTCACCTGGGTTTTGACACACCCCGGCCGGACCCGACGAGTTACATAAGTGCCCCGGGAGGGGTAAAACTGTGGTCCAGGTTCATGTTCAAAGTGGTAATGTTTACCTGTATACGGGACTGTGATGTAAATTAACATGTGTCGATAAAGGTCTTTTAAAAAACACCTAAAACACAATTTCTAAATTTAAGAAAGCATAAACAAAAAGATAAGCTTATAAGTGTAGAAACATACGTAAAAATCAAGTTTATATGTTTGAACACAAGACCATACATATATTGTCAAGGCATTCCTCAATTTACACCAACCACGATTGTTATCGCACAACGTTCGTCCATCGTGCGCACAAATGTGCGTAGCAATGATTGCCAACCTTTCATCGTTCACACATCGTGCACATATCGTTCACACACCTTGCACACATCATGCACACACCGCATATCCCACAACTTTTTGTGTCAACATTTATACTATAATTGCATAACTGCTCTACAATCAATAGTATTTGAGTTATGGTTATTTTAATATTTGGACTTATGACCTCATGGCGGCAATACAGGATATTTGACCTACTTGAAAATGTTGCAATGACACATCTGCTTCCAATCAAAATATTAGGTGGCCACAAAATCAGGGAAGAAGAATACACTGTAAGAAGAAGAAGATAACAATTCCAATAGGTCTTTTCACCAGTTGGTGAAAAGCCCTAATCAAGGAAGTTTCATCTCAATCATATCATGAAGGCGACTATAACACTTGCCTATATCAACCTGCTTCTCTCTCAACTCTGTGTTAGTGTTTCTGTTAGACTTCGACATCTATTACTTTCATGACCTGAGAAGTAAGTTCTGTAATACCGTACGAATGCGAAACGTTACCACTGTAGGTTGGGGGAAAAGGGATATTACTATTAAGAAAGGGAAAGTTCATCATCGGAAATGGAAAAGTATGGTATATGAATTTACTTATCATCTTAGGTAAAGGATAATCTTATTTAACATGTGATATTACAATTACAATCTTTATATTACCAGATAAACATATTTTCATTTGCAATAGGTATTTTGACAACGGTGATTCCTGTATTACGTTTACACGATAGGCATGCATACTATATGTGTGCGCTGTAATCATCTAACTTGTTTTGCCTCACTGATACATTTTATCTTGTAGGAAGTCTGGTATGATGTGGGAAGATAAAGAAGCCAGTGGAGAATGTCAATACCACGGTATAGATTAGAGAAACTTATCAACGTGACAAACAAATAGCATGTGACAGAATATGTTTACTATGAATCTGATACTTGCACTACCAAAGTTTTCGTTTCGTTTTATTTTCTTTCACCAAATATTTATTATTATTGTTACTTTTACACTCACTGTTAACGGATTTTTGAGTTACCACGCTCTACATCAAAGAGGATGGTGATACGTTATCTTAATGGCAAGACTAATAAAAGTAATAATAATAAATTACTTCAAGAAATAGTACAATTAAGGTTGAAGACATTTTCAAAATTACAATTGTGCGTTGTTAACTGGGCCTATTATAAAGGGTGAGATGTCTACTCGACAATTGCAGACCCGATGGTACACACATTCAGTAAATGTAAAGGTCCAACTCCACGTGTGCAGATTGTCATGGTATTCATATTTTAATTACTGAAATTAATTAATGTAATAAGAATACAGTAAAAGAGACATTATGATTATTCTAACATATTGCACGGCACGGTTTACATAAAATACTAGTTGCAGAATAAATTATCTGTTATAGCTAAGCATTGTAATTTTGTTACTTAATAAAGAATGTTATGGGCACCTTTCCTTTTTCCTCTTTTTCCTAAACATATTTCGGAACACTTTAGACATAGATTTCCATGCTTCCGACCTTAGATCCGCTGACTTAACCTTTGTTTGACTCTGCTTCAAGACACTTAATCTCTAAATAAGCCCTAATGCTTACATCGTATTTTAATGGATATTTATCGAATATAATTAACAACTATGTAATACATGTAATTATGATAACATGGATTGGAAATTAATCTACTGGTGAATATATATTGCACAATTATTAAATAACTCATTGAATATTTTATAACTTTTAAATGAAATATAACACACATACGGATTTAATATAGTTTCACATATATTAAGTTCAAAATGTCGTGTCATCAGGTGCACATGCAGTGTAATGCAATTCGGAATCCCTGTCCTTCTGTTTCGATAATTGATTTCAAAACAATTTTTAATTAATCGGAATAAGATTCAGTTTAACATGAATAATGAAGGTTATTTGTTTTAAACAAAATCAGTAAAGTCAGCTTTCTCTACTATGACAGCTGACTTTTAAAAAATGTGGCTTAGTGAGTTATCTTTAGCGAATTAGAGTCGAGACACCGTTCATTTACACTTTTTGCTTAAACAACGGCAACGTTTTCAAAAGCTCGCAAAATAAGTTTTCAATTCCAGAATGTGTTCAAAACAAACTTAGCCTTTAGATTTAAATTAATCCTGATAATGTAAGTTGTATCCAGTACATTCATATCAATGCTGATTTAAGAGGAATATTCTTACATCTACAGTGTAGCTAAGTACACTCTACATTACGTGAAGAACAACATACCTAGACATATCAAGTAGAAAAGTCTCCATCCTAAGATATGTTTTCCCATCTCTGTGAGGAAGTTGACTCGATAGTAACTGGTTCAGGATATACTGATTGACTGAACGATATAGATATCAATTCGGGGTTTTTTTTCTTATCTATACTGGTGACATGTTACGGGCACGATTAACCATTATCAGCTATTAAGATATGGGTAGTAAAGCGTAGATACAAACCTCTCCAACGTAGTGCTAGCTTAATGAATGGATATCGAGAGATATTTATTCAACTCGGGGGCAGTGACTTCGACAAAACACAATATTGTTTGATGTCACTATTTGTGGACGTATCAAATATTTCAAAGAAATACGAAGCCAACATATTACTAGAATCTGAATCATACTGATACATAAACTTATGTTTAAAATATTTATAAATATAATCTGCCCTTCCCCGTTGGTTTTCGCCGAGTACTCCAGTCTCCACCCACATTACGACCCCCCGCCGCACTGTAATATCCGAGCAAACAATAGTGATTAATATAATTTGAAATAACTTGTGCCTTAATTGTTGCAAAATAAAGCAAATAGTATATTTATAAACATCACGACAATATTTTGTCCTTGTCAAAATATAGGAATATAGCATATACCAAAATTCAAGTTTCTTTAGGGCAAACGTGAAAAGAATTACCCACGTTTCCACATAAAGTAGTTATGTTAAGAAGACTTCACTCGCTTTACACACGTATCAAGCAATCAGAGGAAATCAGCTTCAAACCATCGACCGGATATAAAATTCAGTTAGAAGATCCATACACACCAATTTTATTTTTTCCTACGTTTGTGGTAACTGTTTTAATTTCAGGAAATCTTAGCAAAAAGCTAGAGAATTATCGCTGAATAGCAATCGAATTAATATTAGATGTTGGTGAAGTGGATAGTGTGCTGTGACATATTTATGTGTGTAACGTCAGAGTATCTCTAGATATAAGTGAATTCGCAGAATGGCATTTTTGTTTTTTGCTTAAGATGTATAAAGGGGTTTTTTTCAAGCTATGATACGTATTCAACTTCATTTATCAAGTTAAACCTGAATATTGATTAGCTGGCTTATTGACTTAGTAACTCGGAAACCGTCCACATGTGTATTGACTGTTTACGACATGAGACGTTTTGGGGGATATCTGACCTAAATAATGATAATAATAAGCTAGAAATCGGAATCTGGTAAATAAGCTCTCGTTGAATTATTTCTTGATTGCTACATGTATGTCTAAATACATGTACTTCCTTTGATTGGTTGATTGTTTGTGGGTCCTTAAAAAAACACCATTAAATATCCATACTGAATATTTCAGGAAAGTCAGTGATGGTAAAAGTCTGTAATTATGAATACTTGTTAAGATCACGTTATCGGCAATACAAATGTAAAATACTGACCAACCATATTTGGTTGGTACCTTGCTAATTTTAATAATTATAAGTTATCTATTGTACATGTATACATTGGTATATGGTATATATTTAGATTCTTTTCTAGCTCTCTTAAGGATTATACATTATTTTAAAAGATGAATAAATAAATGAAAAATTATTACGGAAAGCTAACATGGATAAATTATCATGTATTGTCCTTACGTATCAAAATGTCCAGTTCTCTTTGCGATTCCCAATTTAAAATAAATGACCTTCGCCATAAACAGACATATTACATACAATTGATTGGTGAAGCCTTTAGAGAGATGATGTCCATCTTTAACGGTTAACAAAATCTTCCCATGTACGTAGACAAATATGAATATCGAATGATGAATAATTCCTGTGAATACAGAAATATTGTACCTTGCATACTTATACATTTTACAAAATATCAAAATGTGCTATCAATATTGAAATCTTTGCACTAAAGTGCAAGTGGTCCGGACTAATATGTGTCTACAGACAGGGTTATAATTATCAAATAGTGTTTTTTTTTTAAGTTTTGCGATAATTTACCACTTTCATATCCCTATAGTGTGTTTCGTTCCCAAACAAAACAACATTTTATCACTGCTGGTATTAATGTGGTATACATTCTAACATTTAGATTGTTTAGAAGATTTTTTTGGACGTTTAAAAAGTACCGTAAATGACAACAATTGACAAATCTTAGTGTATTATTAACAGATTAGTTCCAATTAATCGTTTATGAAATAACTTTATAAACATAGCAGACATGTAACTGTTCACGTCATTTTCTCGATATGACAATAGTAAGCATTGTCATTTGGGTCCAAAAGATCAAACACTATGCATGTAACTTTATAGAATATACAGTAACATTTCAAACTATGTAGACTATCCCTAGGTCTTAAACCTTTTATCTGTCTAATTCCATGATTAGTGGTATTGGTTTAAGTGGATATATTGCCAATAACAAGAAAACAAATTTTATTAATGACATTCCCTCTGTACATTGTGTTGCCATGTTATTGAATGTTTCTGTTGGAGAGATGTGGCATTCCTTAACAACCTGAATTATTTAGGCCAAGACGCTCCTTAAACTGAAAGCATTACTTCTAAAAGGGATAATCTCAACCATATTCAGTGTTTTACACAAGTATTTCATATTTTTTTATGACTAAATCACATTTTGGGCCCCTATCGGGCTGGCGCTGACTGTTTACATACCTTTTGATCCCCTAACCCTACAGACTGTTCTTCTGAAAATTAATCAAATTAGGTTGGTTGTTTTAAAGGGAGGTAACATGAATCAAAACTTGAAGGCAAGCATCTGAAGAAAAGCAGTTTACCCTTTATGAACAATCACCCGAACAAGTGAAATATTATCGTATCCTGCATATTCCATTCATGGTATTGAAATGAATTTTGAAGAATATTAAACAAAAACTATAACAAAAGCAGTCTAAAATGCCTTGTTGATTTTCAAATTCTCTTTATTATTTGGAAATCTGGTTGCATTTGATCATGGATGGACTCTGGTTAAAATGGTGTTCTCTCTGTCCGTCTACATGTAGCTATTACCTCTCCTAACTTCTAGTTCAGTATTACGCTCTTGACATCGCCTCCTCTAACGGCAGTACTCTATTATATACATCCGCATTGTTACTCTATTACATATATTGGCATTGCTTCCTCTATTAATTACATTCGCATTGTTGCTCTATTACATAAATTCACATTGCTTCCTCTATTACATACATTCGCATTGTTACTCTATTATATACCATCGCATTGTTACTCTAATACATATATTCGCACTGTTACTCTATTATATACATTCGCATTGTTACTCTATTACATGCATTCGCATTGTTACTCTATTACATAGATTCGCATTGTTACTCTATTACATGTACATACATTCGCATTGTTACTCTATTATATACATTCGCATTGTTACTCTATTACATATATTGGCATTGCTTCCTCTATTACATACATTCGCATTGTTACTCTATTACATATATTGGCAATGCTTCCTCTATTACATACATTCGCATTGTTACTCTATTACATCAATTCACATGGCTTCCTCTATTATATACCATCGCATTGTTACTCTATTACATACATTCGCATTGTTACTTTATTACATACATTCGCATTGTTACTCTATTACATACATTCGCATTGTTACTCTATTACATACATTCGCATTGTTACTCTATTATATACCATCGGATTGTAACTCTAATACATATATTCGCATTGTTACTCTATTATATACCATCGCATTGTTACTCTAATACATATATTCGCACTGTTACTCTATTATATACCATCGCATTGTTACTCTATTACATACATTCGCATTGTTTCTCTATTACATACATTCGCATTGTTACCCTATTGCATTGTTTCTCCATCACATACATTCGCATTAATAGTAATATAATATACCAAAAAAAAATATGCTTTATAACTGATTATTTCTTAATAAAAACAAATTTATGATTGGTATTTATTTACAAGTGTGCAGGCAGTACAACTGGTATCAGAATTACACACTTCCTGCATGAAAAACAATACATGAGACAATTGTCATATTTCTAACACAGCGTTATGTATTTATAACGACAACATTCAGTATAATATTGTCAGTGCCGTATAATCATCACATACATCATAACAATATTAAAAATGGTTAGTGAAATTAAATAAAGGTTTTTATACACATGTTTACTTTAAATATATCAAAAGACAAGACGCGTTGTTCATTTACATTAACAGACCTCGAATAAAAAAGAAAAGCGCGTAAATATATGACCTGATTGTGTTACAATAGGGGCAATTTCTTACAGATATATCTAAACATAATATTTGATATGAGTGTAATATGACTTTAATGAATTTCGAACTATTTTGAATTATAATATTAGTGATTTTATTATTGAAGGTACCTGTATTTTACACTGAATAACAACAACCTTCATGTTCGTGTGTATATTAATGGACCAGGGTTTCATTGTATGTTGTTGTAGAATCCAGGTTACATGAACATTAAACATTTTCATTTTTTTTTTTTATAATGCTATTAAAGTACTTAAGTCAGTATATACATTGTTTTACATCGCTTTTCTTAATATACTTTACGCTTAATTACAACTGTAACTTGTAATGATACAAGTATATACATTGTGACTATTGTGAACCTGTATAATTATGCTTATGTCACATGTATATACGAAAAATTAACAGTACACACATTTGCAGTGTTACTGCAAAAATGCAAATCTTAAGAACAGGTTGAACACATGTGGTTAGTTAGATTTATGTCATTGGCAACAAGTTCGTGTAAATAAATGACCTACAATGGAAACGTTTAATTACTCTATAAGGAAACGTTAAATTACCTTACAATGGAAACGTTAACTTACATTCGTACAATGGAAGCTTTAAATTACCTTTCTATGGAAACGTTAAATAATCTAGCATTGGAAACGTTAAACTTATAATAGAAACGTGAAATGATCTTTCTATGGAAACGTCAAACTGATAATAGAAACGTTAAATGATCTTTCTATGGAAACGTTAAATAATCTAGCATTGGAAACGTCAAACTTATAATAGAAACGTTAAATGATCTTTCTATGG